AGAGAGAGATGTCTTCCATCCACTGGTTCACCCCCCAGATGGCCACAATGGCCAGAGCTGGGCCTATCCGAAGCCAGGAGCCAGAAGCTTCCTCCAAGTCTCCACGTGGGTGCAGGGGCCCAAAAATGTGGGCCATCTTCCACTGCTTTTCCAGGTCATAGCAGAGAGCTGGATTGGAAGTGGAGCAGTCGGGACTCCAACCAGCACCCATATGGGATGCCAGCACTGCAGGTGGTGGCTTTACCTGCTACGCCACAGCACTGGCCCCTAAAGATTTTTTTATGTATTTGAAAGAAAGAGAGAGAGGAGGAGAGACACACACTGAGAGAGACAGATCTTCCATCCTGTGGTTCACTCCCAAATGGTCACAACACGGGGCTGAGCCTGGTGGAAGCTAGGAGCCCAAAGCTAGGATCCTGGAGCTTATTCTGTGTATCCCATGGGGTTGGCTGGGCCCAAGTGTTTGGGCCCACCTTCACTGCTTTCCTAAGTGCATTAACAGGGAGCTGGATTAGAAGTGGAGCAGCTGTTTTTCAAAGCTGAGCCCATATGGAATGCCAGGACAGCAGGCACCAAATGCTGACTCCAAGTGATTATTTCTTAAGAATTAGTTACAGTGTGGAAGCTGAAACTATGTCAAGGGACTTAGGTTAGTTTGTTATGTTAAAACCTATTGGGGGCCGGTGCCGCGGCTCACTAGGCTAATCCTCCGCCTTGCGGCGCTGGCACACCGGGTTCTAGTCCCATTCAGGGTGCCGGATTCTGTCCCGGTTGCCCCTCTTCCAGGCCAGCTCTCTGCTGTGGCACGGGAGTGCAGTGGAGGATGGCCCAAGTACTTGGGCCCTGCACCCCATGGGAGACCAGGATAAGCACCTGGCTCCTGGCTTCGGATCAGCACGGTGCGCCGGCCGCACAGCGCCGGCCGCGTCGGCCATTGGAGGGTGAACCAACGGCAAAGGAAGACCTTTCTCCCTGTCTCTCTCACTGTCCACTCTGCCTGTCAAAAACAAACAAACAAAAAAAACCTATTGGGCTGGTGCTGTGGTAGTGGGCTAAGCCATCCTCCTATGGCACATCCATATGGATGCTGGTTTGTGTCTCAGCTGCTCCTTTTCTGATCCAGGCCTCTGCTATGGCCTGGAGAAGCAGTAGAAAATAACCCAAGTGCTTGGGACCTTGCACCTACATGGAGGACCTGAACAAAGCTCCATGATCCTGGCTTCGGATTGACCCAGCTCCAGCTGTTGTGGCCATTTGGGGAATGAACCAGCAGATGGAAGACCTTTCTGTTTCTTCCTCTCTCTCTCTATGACTCTACCTCTCAAATAAATAAATAAAAATCTTAAAAAAATCATTAGGCCAGCGCTATGGCATAGTAGGCTAAGCCTCCATCTATGGCACTGGCATCCCATATGGGCACTGGTTCATGTCCTGGCTGCTCCTCTTCCAATCCAGTTCTCTGCTTATGGCCTGGGAAAGCGGTAGAAGATTACCCAAGTGCTTGTACCCAAGTGGGAAGAAGCTTCTGCTTTGGATTGGCCCAGCTTCGGTCATTGGTGGCCATTTAGGAAGTGAACCAGCAGGTGAAAGACCTTTCTTTCTCTCCCTCTCTGTATATAACTCTGCTTCTCAAATAAATAAAATATTAAAAAAAAAAAACCCATTGGTCTAGCTTGTACTTTGTATGTCTTTAACCTATGGATGGTTTTCTAACACCATGCTTTTGGTTGTTTGGAAAATACAGGTTCATTAGGCTATGCAGATGTTTCAAATAAGAGTACAAGCATATTTCATTATACAATGTCAATAAATACCAGTTGTTGATTGTCTCACTGAATATCAGAAAACTGGGTATTAGGAAATTGTCAAGTTCATGGTGGTGGTTGTTTCCCAAAGTTCCAGTTTTCACTGGAATGGTCAGATTTTATCTTTTGGCAACAAACACTACTTATTTTCTTTGAACTGTTAGGCTTACTTTGTTCATTAAGTCAGAATACCATAATTTGTCCATTATCTTTTCAGTGAAAACAGTGTTCTGAGAGACAAGCAGCTAGTTCATCTTACAGCTCAAAAAGATGCACAGTGCTTTCTCTTAGAAACAACCATTACACTTGGATATGCAACAGAAGTGCTTTATGTGTACTTGTTATTTGACCACATGGAATATTAAGATTTATACCCAAGGATTGAGATTTAAAAATTTTTATGGTTTCATCAAGATCATTCTTAAGTGAAACTTACTTTTGAAAAGTAGTACCTTGAAAAATAAAGAAACTGTGGGGCTGGGGCTGTGGTGCAGCTGGCAAAGCCACCGCCTACAGTGCCAGCATCCCATTTGGGTGCCGGTTGGAGTTCTGGCTGTTTCACTTCCAATCCAGCTCTCTGCTATGGCCTGAGAAAGCAGTGGAAGATGGCCCAAGTCCTTGGGCCCTTGTACCAGCATGGGAGACCTGGAAGAAGCTCCTGATTCCTGGCTTCGGGTCTGCACAGCTCCGGCTGTTGTGGCCAATTGGAGAGTGAACCAGCAGATGGAAAACCTCTTCCTCTCTCTGCCTCTCCTTCTCTCTCTGTGTAACTCTGACTTTCAAATAAATAAATAAATCTTTTTTAAAAAAGGAACTGTTAGTATTTTTTAATAAAAGATTATTTATTTATTTATTTGAAAGGCATAGCTATATATAAAGAGGAAGAGACAAAAAGAGACAGATCTTCTACCACTGATTGACTTTCCAAATGACTGCAGCAGCCAGGCCTGGACCAGGCCAAAGCCGAAAGCCTGAAACTCCACCCTGGTCTCCCACGTAAGTGGCGAGAACCAGGTACTTGGGCCATCTTCTACTGCTGTCCCAGGAATGGTTAGCAGGAAGCTGGATTGGAAGTGGAACATATGGGGTTTGAACCAGAACTCTGATATGGGACACCAGGATCACAAGCAGTGGCTTAACACTCCCCCAGCACCGGCCCCTTAGCTAAAGTTTTATATTTTCATTTTTAGTTTTTTGAAGGAAGGAAGTAACAGGCAAATTTTTAAAAGGTTGGTCTTGGGGCCGGTGCTGTGGCATAGCAGGTTAAAGCCCTGGCCTGAAGTGCCGGCTTCCCATATGGGCGCCAGTTCAAGACCTGGCTGCTCCACTTCCAATCCAGCTCTCTGCTATGGCCTGAGAAAGCAGTAGAAGATGGCCCAAGTCCTTGGGCCCCTGTACCTGCGTGGGAGAACCGGAAGAAGCTCCTGGCTCCTGGTTCCTGGCTTTTGGCTTTGGATCGGCATAGCTCCGGCCATTGTGGCCATCTGGGGAGTGAACCAGCATATGGAAGACCTCTCTCTCTGTCTTTACCTCTCTCTGTAACTCTGTCTTCAAATAAATAAAATAAATCTTTAAAAAAAAAAAAAGATTGATCTCAATGTTTATCGTTTTGGAACCATCTAAGCCTTGATAACAATTGATGTTGTCAACTCAGCCCTCTGTATTGTTTGTATTGGTTTTTGAAGATCTCTTTGCCATTAGTGACTGTTTCTTTTAGGCTAAGGTAGAACTAAAGCCCTTATTCAAAAAGCTTCTCTGCTTGCTTTCTGCTCCCCTGAGATGGGCAGATAAGGATCCCTAACCATCCCTGACTACAAATACATTTTACCGTATTATTTGAAACCATTCAGAAAGTACATTTCTTCCCTTTGAAATGTTTGCCCCACCCTTTCTCACCAAAGCAGGTGCTGTTTAACACTCATACAGTCTTAAACTATAACTTCCCAGTGGGAAGATTGCATCTGAGCCTATGAGATTTTTTTCTTTGTTTCTTCATTCCTTCCTTCCTTCCTTTCTTCTAAGATGTATTTATTTATTAGAAAGGCAGAGTTACTGAGAGAGAGAGGCAGTGGGGAGACAGAGACAGTAAGTGAGAAACAGAGACAGAGATCTTCCATCCACTGGTTCATTCCCCAAATGGCTGCAGCGGCCAGGGCTGAGGCAGGCCGAAACCAGAAGCTTCTTCCAGGTCTCCCATGTGGGGGCTGGGGCCCAGGTCCTTAGGCCCTCTTACACTGCTTTTCCAGGTGCATTAGGAGGGAGTTGGATCAGAAGTAGGGTAGCTATGACTCGAACTGGTACTCATATGGGATGCTGGCCCCATAGGTGGCAGTTCAACCCACTGTGCCACAATGCCAGCTCCAAGATTGCTATCTTTTAAAATTCATAAGCAGGGGTCGGTACTGTACTATACTGGGTAAGTGTGGCCTGTGGCCTGCAATGCTGGCATCCCTTATGGGTGCTGGTTCGTGTCCCAGCTACTCCACTTCTGATCCAGTTCCCTGCTAATGGCCTGAGAAAACAGTGGAAGATTGGCTCTAGTGCTTGGGCACCTGCCGCCCACATGGGGGACCTGGATGAAGCTTCTCCTGGCCCATCTCTGGCTATTGCAGCCATCTGGGAAGTGATCCAGCGGATAAGAATATCCTCCCTCCCTCCCTCTCTCTCTCTCTCCCCCTTCCTCCCTCCCTCCCTCCCCGTCTCCATCTCCCTCCCTCCCTCCCCCTGTTCCTCTTTTTCTCCCTACCTTCTCCTTCCCTTCTTCTCTTCCTCTCTCCCCCCTCCCCCAACCCTCCCTCTCCTCCTCCCCCTCCTCCTCCTTCTCTGTCTCTTTCTCTATCCCCCTGTAACTCTGACCTTCAAATAAATAAATAAATCTTCAAATAAAAAATTTATAAGCATATCAGTGGCTTTTCATGTGCCCTGATTTTATCACATAGTGTTGCTGTAGCTCAGCCATTTATAGCACTTTAGAAATCACTTTCACAATCCTAACGGTCCTATTAGAACTATCAATAATAGTTCTCTTGTACTTCTAGGCTTAGAAGTCACGCTCTGGGCACTCAGTATGAAGGAAAGAAAAATTAATGTCTCATTAGAACTGCTAGGCGCTGTCAATGCCCGGGAGTGTCTGGCACACAGTAGAAATCAGTAAGTAGTTGTTGTGTGAATGAATGAACAGACCTCTCTTTTCAGGCCTGTATTGATGAGAATTTGGACATGGTGAAGTTTCTGGTGGAAAACAGAGCCAATGTAAACCAGCAGGACAACGAGGGCTGGACCCCACTCCATGCAGCAGCTTCCTGTGGCTATCTCAACATAGCAGAGTGAGTGAGTCTCCCGGGGTAGGGGTGGGGCGGGAGGAGAAGCCTTTTCTCTTCTGTTCTTGGGCATTTGAGTTTCAGAAATAGTAATCTCGCTTTGTTGCAAATTATCAAAACATTTAAGAAATGGCTGACACCTGTGTTTAACATAGCTGCTAAGTCCAATTTTTTAGTTGAAAGTTTTTCTTTCCTTCTGTTTTCAACTATTTTGTATTTTCTGGGATGTGCAAAGGTAGTTTCTGTCTGGTGCATTGGCTGGGTTTTCTTTCTGAGCAGCTGTAGGCAAGCCCAGAGATGTTTTTTCTGAACTTCTTTGTAAATCTGCTTTTTTTAAAAATTTATTTTTAAAGATTTATTCATTTATTTAAAAGCCTGACAGAGGGGTACAGAGAGGGAGAAGGAGAGAGTAAGAACTTCCACCTGCTGGTTCTCTGCAAATGCCAATAACTGCCAGGGCTGGGCTAGACCAAAGTCAGGAGCCTGGAACTCCATTCGGGTCTCCATTGGGTGGCAGGGACCCAAGCACTTGGGACGTCTTCCATTGCTTTCCTAGGTGCAGAAGCACAGCTGCCAGGACTCAGACCAGTGCTGCAGTATGGGATGCTGGTGTTGCAATGGCAGCTTAACTGCTGTACCACAACACTGGCTTCTTCTTTGCAAATATGTGTTTTAAAAAATTAGTGTTCAATACCAATGACTATGGCAAGTGCCTTGTATATTAATCATAGTATTCCTGCACTTAATAGCAGAAGAATGAACCTAAACATGTGGAAAAAAGGAAAGGTAGGGATTGGCATCTATTTTCTAAGATATGTCAGTGAGCTACTAACTTCCATGACAACTAGTGCCCCTCCTCTGGGCAGAAGAATCCGACTATGTGGTGCCTGGGATATAAGAGTCTCTAAAGAAGTGTGCTACATTCGACTACAGAGCTTATTTTAAAATAGGACAGAGACTGTGGTCGCTGAAACAGGTTGAAATGAAGCTGTTGAGTATATTCCTCATGAGGGTAAATTTAAATTGATGGATTCTGTAATGAAATCATGATGTCCGATGGCCCCTTGAAAACCAGATTGCTTATTTTAAGGCCGTTTTCAACAACACGATTGCAACTCCATTATCTTTGTCCCATTCGGTTGGCAGCCTTATTGGGGCCTGACAACGACTTCCCACAGAATCTGATTTACCCAGATTCCCTGGGGGAGCCTGAATCCCTGGGTTTGCTGCTGAGCCAGGGATCCTCAGTGGGAGAAATTCAGCAAAGGGGAAGTCAGAGCAACAGGAACATTAGGGAGCGTTACTGGCAGGCTGCTCGTTCAAAAATGTGGATGGCTGGGTTGGATTGACCCCAAAGCCAACAGAAATGGCCAGTGCCATTTTCTTCTTAAAGTTTTCACCCTGTTCTAATTTAGTAAAAGTCAGCCACCTCCTTGCACCCTTAAGCTGCCCTCTTTTCTAAATGTTGGCCTTAATCACTGTTGCCAACATTCTGATGTCTAAAGAGTTTCGGTGACTTCCTTAACACATTTCGGTGATTTCCTTAACACATTTGTCTAAGAACCATTTATAGAACATGTTGGCCCCTCACTATTGGTTATCTGTTCAGGTGGTATGTTTGTGATACTTGAACTCTCCAATCTTATTGAATTCAAAGATTCACTTTTTTTCCCCAAGTTCCTCCTCTCCCCCGCTTCTCTAAGAAGAGTGCATGCTTAGAATTTGGATCACTTGTTTGGCATTATCCTCCTTTTAAGAAGTTGAGTACAGAGAATGGTTGTATTGCCTTTTTTTTTTTTTTTTAAAGAGAGGGAAAGAGGGAGAGAGATCGAGATTTCATCTGCTTACTCCCCGAGTACCACAGTGGCCGAGACTGGACCTGGCTGAAGCCAGAGCTGGGAACCCAGTCACTTGATCCATCACTTGCAGCTTCCCAGGATCTGCTTTGGCAGGAAGCTGTAGCAGAACCAGAGCTGGGTGTTGGACCCAGGTGCTCTGATGTGGGACCCAGCCTCTTGATTGCTATGTTAAACACCTTTCCTGTAATGATTTTTTTTACAGAGGTTCCTTTAATTTATTTTTATGGATGAACACAGTTATTTTGGAAATAAGCTCAAAATTTAACAGTCTCTTGCTCAAACAAATATTCCCTTGAATGAAATAAATCTGTGAGTAACTATTTCCTCATACAAATTATACACATGAAACTCTTGGAGACATGATCTAGATCAGAATCCATTTGCAGTGGTGTGATGACCTTCTTTGGTTTATCTTTCATTGTGTATATTACTGGGCACATTTTTATTGTTATTATTTATTAGCAGCACTTAGGTTTATTTTGTATGCAGTGGGAAAGAACCTCATTGTTTATGTTCTTTATTTTGTTTGCTTTATCTCAACACCAATGAATATAAGATCAACCTTTAGTTGTCTTGCCAGTTTTCTTTTGTACCCTTTTTTAAAAAAAATTATTTATTTGAAAGGCAGAGCATCAGAGAAGAAAAGAGAGAGAGAGAGAGAGAGAGAGAGATCTTCTATCAGCTAGTTCACTCTACAAATGGCTGCAACAACCATATTTGGGCCAGGCCACAGCCGGGAGCCAGGAACCCCATCCTGGTCTCCCATGTGGGTGGCAGGTTCAAGTACTTGGACCATCTTATATTGTCTTCCCAGGCACATTAGCATGGATCTGGATTAGAAGCAGAGAAGCTGGGACTGGAAATGGCACTCTGATATGGGATGCTGGCGTCAAAAGCTATGGCTTACTGCTACCCCACAATGCCAGCCCCCTCTTTTGTATCTAAATATCTTATATTTTACATTCCTAATTCCCAGAATCATTGTGTGCCTTAACTTTCAATGGATTAGAAATTAATAAAAGACAAACTAGCTTTCTAGGAAGAACCCAAGTACATTGTATTTTATGTTTCACGATAATCATTTTTGTCTCCTGTTTGTACTCGTATGATACATCAAAGAAAAGAGATTTAGAGGCTATTTTTCATTTTAATTTGCATTCAAGCTTAACGGTAGGTATTAGATTGTTTTGTTTTCGATTATTTATTTACTTAAAAGGCAAAGTTAGAGATATCTTCCATCCACTGTTTCAGTCCCCAAATGACCATGATGGCTAGAAGTGGGCTGATCCAGAGGCAGGAGCGTCCTCCTGCTCTCTCACATGGGTACAGGGGCCCAATTACTTGGGCAATCTTCCACTGCTTTCTCAGGCATATTAGTAGGGAGCTGGATTGGAAGCAAAGCAGCTGAAACTCTAACTGGTGCCCATATGGGATGCGCGTACCACAGGCAGCGGCTTTATCTGCTATGCCATAGTGCCAGCCCCTAGGTGGGTATTTTTATATTTTAATTATGAATAAGTGTTTAATTTAGAAATAGCAGTCTGATCCAAGAGTATAGCTTTAATTTGGCTTTATAGCTTATTGAGATGCTAATGTATATCAGAATATATTAAGTTCATTTATTAAGTATATTATGTATTCTATATAGAATATAAACTACATTTCAGTTCTTTTTTTTAATATTTTTTTGATTTATTTGAAAGTGAGAGTTACAGAGAGAGAGGGAGAAACAGAGAGAGAGATCTTCCATCTACTGGTTCACTTCCCAGATGACCTCAACAGCCAGGACTAGACCAGGCCAAAGCCAAGAGCCATGAACTTCTTCAGGTCTTACATGTGGGTGGAAGGGGCCCAAGCACTTGGGCCATCTTCTGCTAGTTTTCTCAGGCTGTTAGCAGGGAAGTGGAGCAGCCAGGATACAAACCGGTGCCTATATGGGATGCCAGCGTCACAGGTGGTGGCTTAACCCACTATACCACAATGCTAGTCCCGGAAGACTTTATTTTTTAAGGGCATATATTGAATGAATGGCTATTTTTGAACCCCTGGGCAGCCAGAAGGATTCTCATGAGTCAAGTAGATATTACTAAGTAGGTTGATATTTATTCTTCTTCAGGTGCAAGTATAAACCTATAGAGATTTTTTTACTGTTTTTCCCCTAAAACTGGAAAAAATGGAAAAATGGAGAACCAGATTCCTTTCAGGAAATGAGTGTTCTTGAACATGGGCTCAAACACATGTCAGAAAAGGGAAAAGCAAAAAGCAGGGCCCTGTGTACCCAAGTGACATTGTGCCTTATCCAATGTAGGATCCAATAGTTGTTAGAGCAGAGTGGTTAAAGTGTATCACTTAATTCAAGCAATATTACAGGGTGCCAAGAGAAAGTGTCAGAAACCCTAGAGGTGATTGGGAGCAAGACACGATTGTTGCCCTCACATGGCTTTCAGTGTTAGAGTGGTTGCAGCAAGATGTGATGCAGGCCATGATAGAAGTCCAGAGCTGGTGCTGGGAGGAGGCGAAGGTGGGCAGGCTTAAAGAGCAGGAGAATTCAGTTAGAGAAAGCAAAGGCTTCTGGAAGGACAGAGCATTTTATTTTGTTTTTATATTTTTTAATTAATTTTTTAAGGAATACAATTTTCATAAGTACAACTTTAGGAATATAGTTATTCTTCCCCCCATACTGGTCCTCCCACCCACACTTCCACCCCTCATACTCCTCCCTCTCCCCTTTCCAGTACTGTTCTCCATTAAGATTCATTTTCAATTAACTTTGTACACAGAAGACCTACTCTATACTAAGTAAAGATTTCAACAATTTGCACACACACACGCATGCACACAAACTGTTTGAGAACTAGTTTTACAGTTAACTCTCATAGTACAACTCATTGAGGACAGAGGTTCTGCATGGGGAGTTAGTGCAGTGATTCCTGTTGTTAATTTAACAGTTCACACTCTGATGTTGAAGTCAGTGACCACCCGAGGCTCTTGACATGAGCTGCTTAGGCTATGGAAGCCTTTTGAGTCCACAAACTCCATCAGTATTTAGACAAGGCCCTAAGCAAAGTGGAAGTTCTCTCCTCCCTTTAGAGAAAAGTACATCCTTCTTTGATGGCCATTTCTTTCCACTCGGGTCTCACTCACAGAGATCCTTCATGTAGAATAATTTTTGCCACCGTGTCTTGGCTTTCCATGCCTGAAATGCTCTCATGGGCTTTTCAGCCAGACAAGGAAGCCTTAATGGCTGATTCTGAGGTCAGAGTGTTATTTAAAGCATTTGTTATTCTATGAGTCTGCTGTGTGGACTGCTTCCCATCTATTATTATTAGCAGACACTTGATCCTATTTATATGGTCACTTTAACACTTAATCCTATCTATATGCTCACTTTAACACTTAATATAATCACTTCAAAAATTAAGATGGCATTTTTACCACCAAGCTTAATGTGATTTGGAGTCCCATGACAAGTTTTTAAGCTGTAGCCTTAGAAGTAAATCCATAGGACAGAGCATTTCAAATGGACCATGAATGATGTGAAAGGTTTCCACAAGTGAAAGGAGAAGAGGAACTGTTGTGTCCTGTAGGGGAAAATAGCTTGTGCTAAGTGAGAAGGCTGTGTTTGGGAACATGAAGTGGTTCAGTTTGATTAGAATATAGGGTACAATTCAATTCAATGACATTTATTGAGTTCTTATTACGTATTATTTGCTTTTTTACTTTCCAAGGTGGAGGAGGTGTAGTTCAGGTTTCTTTGGCTGAGGGAGAGAAATGAGAAGAGAGGAGGTACCAAATATGTAGAAATTAAGGAGTATTTGGTGGTCAAAGTCTGAGAGGTTCATAGAAAAATGCATCCTATCCAAAAAAAAAAATTCTTGGCTTTCAAAAATAACTTTATCTTTCAACTCCATTTTTCTGCAAAGTTTTATAAGTACCTACACACTGATATTTCGTAAAAGTAAAACTACATACAGATATAGAGTTAATCTTGGAATTGAATAAGGTCTGTCATTTTCTGAGACTGTGAGAGAAGAAAGGAAATAGTTGAAAATTAGATGAATCGTGAATGCCTTTGAGTTTTTTTTTTTTTTTTTTTGACAGGCAGAGTGGACAGTGAGAGAGAGAGACAGAGAGAAAGGTCTTCCTTTTGCCGGTGGTTCACCCTCCAATGGCAGCCACGGCTGGCGCGCCGCGGCCGGCGCACCGCGCTGATCCGAAGCCAGGAGCCAGGTACCTATCCTGGTCTCCCATGGGGTGCAGGGCCCAAGGACCCGGGCCATCCTCCACCGCACTCCCGGGCCACAGCAGAGAGCTGGCCTGGAAGAGGGGCAACCAGGACAGAATCTGGCGCCCCGACCGGGACTAGAACCCGGTGTGCCGGCGCCGCAAGGCGGAGGATTAGCCTAGTGAGCCGCGGCGCCGGCCGCCTTTGAGTTTTATATATGTGGAATTGACCTGTAAATTAATAAACTTTTGGGGCCAGCACTGTGGTATGGTGGGTTAAGCTGCCATGTGCAGCACCAGCATCTCAAGTGGGCACAGGTTCTAGTCCTGACTGTACCACTTCTTATCTAGTTCCCTGCTAATGTGAGAGCAGCAGAAGGTGGCCATGTACTTGGGCCCCTGCTCCCATATGGGAGACATAGAAGAAGCTCTTGGATCCTGGCTTTGGACCAGCCCAGCTCCAGCCGTTGCAGACATTTGGGGAGTGAACCGGCAGATGGAAGCTCTCTCTCTCTCTCTTTCTCCCTCGCCCCGCCCCCCTTCTGTAACTCTGCCTTTCAAATAAATAAATCTTTAAAAAATTAACGAACATTTATTGAGGGCCTATTATACCAGTTGCTGGGCACTGAGAAAACAAAAACAGTCTTTTTTTTTTTTTTTTTTTTTGACAGGCAGAATTAGACAGTGAGAGAGAGAGAAAGGTCTTCCTTCCATTGGTTCACTCCCCAAATGGCCACTACAGCTGGTGCGCTGCAGCCAGCGATCCAAAGCCAGGAGCCAGGTGCTTCTTCCTAGTCTTCCATGCGGGTGCAGGGCCCAAGCATTTGGGCCATCCTCCACTGCCTTCCTGGGCCACAGCAGAGAGCTGGACTGGAAGAGGAGCAACCGGGACTAGAACCCCGGGTGCCGGCACTGCAGGCGGAGGATTAGCCAAGTGAGCCACGGCGCCAGCCAAAAACATAGTCTTAATCTAATCTTTGTTGATTTCTTTCTCCTCTGCCAGCTCTTTGAATGCAGTGGCCATGTATTGATTATTTTTCTCTTTTTAAAAATCTCCTACAGTGTCTAAAAAGTGGGTCCTTGAGCCTAACAGGAACAAATAAGGATTTATTGAGTTGATGAATGGATGGAAACCTAATTTGCATAGTTTTCCTTTCCTCTTTAAATACTTGTGATTGTTTAATAGAGTCCCCAGCATTGTTAGGTTCTCATTGGCCCCAAAGTAGCTTGTTTTGGAGAAAAGAAGACTGGGTCAAGGACCCACATGCATTGTAGTGTAACAGGTAAAGCTGCTGCCTGCAATGCCGGCAACTCAAGTGGGCACCTTCACTTGTGCTCCAGCTCCCTGCTAATGGCCTAGGAAAGCAGCAGAAGACAGCCCAAGTGTTTGGGTCCCTCCCTCCATGTGGCAGACCTGGTAGAAGCTCCAAGCTCCTGGCTTCAGCCTGTCCTAGCCCTGGCCACTGTATCCATCTGGGGAGTGAACCAGTGGATGCAAGATCTCTCTGTTTCTCCCTCTCTGTAACTCTGAATTTCAAATAAATAAATAAATCTTTAAAAATAATAAAAAAAAGACTGGGTCCATTGTTTCTCCCATTTTTCAGTTCCTTGATTTTGAGAAAAATATTTAATATATGAACTTCAACTTCTAGTAGTACCCATATTGCCTACTTAATAATATTGCCCAGGACTCTTGATATAATTTTTGTGAAAGCACTTTGAAAACAAAAAAGCATCCATGGCAAGTATTAAAATTATCAATCCTTTTTTAAAATAATTTTTTGAGAGGCTTTCTTGTTTAGGTTCAAGAAGTCTTTTGGGTTTAGAATCTATTTGGGGGTGAGTGACCCACATCCTGAATAGGAGTGCCCAAGCTTGACTCCGACTTCGGTCCATGTGCAGCATGGGAGGCAGTGGGTTTCTGTCACCCCCATGGGAGATGTGGATTGAGATCCTAGCTCCCAGCTTCAGCCTGGCCCACAGCCGTTCTGGGCATTTGGAGAATGATGCAGTGGATGAAAATTCTCTGTTGATCTCTCTGCTTCAAAATAAATAGAATCTAACTATTTAGTATTTTGATGTTTCTTCTTTAGTAATTTAGTTTCCTTTTAGAGTGCCAGAGATTTCATGTAGATGGCTGGTTGAAGGGAGAGTTTTGTGGAGGCATAATTTAGATGTATTCATACAAATTTTAATGCATGCTTTATCCTTCTTTTTTCATGCCCACAACACTACTTAGTAAATTCTGATGTGGCACTGGGAAACTTTTAATAAGAATTGCTTCTTTACATAATTTCTGGGGGCTCTTTCATTCCTATCATTATAAGTGCAATAAGTCCTCTTGGAAATCTGTTTGTGGACCCCAGAGATGGTGGGTGAATAGTAAGGGCTACCTGTCTTCCTTATAGTATTTAGAAAATTTCACACAATCTTCTGAAGTGAGAAAGTAGCGATTATGATTATGAGTGTGAAAGAAATACTGTTTGGTGGTATTACTCTTGTCAGGAAGTAGAGAAGTCTCCAGTACTAAATCTTGAAGGCTAATGGAGTTAGAAATTAACAATGAAATATTATATCTGGGGCCATATTTTAAAACTCCATATTAGAGAGCTTGTAATGTCCTGAACCCTAGATGCATGAATATAAATTGATGTTAGATTGACAGAGATGATATTGACCCTGGGTCTTGTCTGCACAGGTATTTCATTAACCATGGAGCCAGTGTGGGCGTTGTGAATAGTGAAGGTGAAGTCCCCTCTGACCTTGCAGAAGAGCCAGCAATGAAGGATCTTCTCCTGGAGCAAGTAAAGAAGCAAGGTAACCCAGTGATTGATGGACTGCGAGAGACCCTCAAACACCGCCACTTGGAAAAGAATGCATTTTCTGTGTAGAGCTTGTGATTATCAAATGACAGAAGGTTAGATCTGTCCACACAGTATTATCACCAATTACCAACATCATGCATACTCTTAGCTCACACAAGACAGGTCAGATGCCAAAAGGATGATCAACCCTTCCTTATTTTTGGCATTCTGAGATTGTATGCCTATCTATAGTTAGGAACATTTCTTAGTGTATTTGTACATGGTATTGCATTTTGCTATACCCTGCAGAGTAACTTTGCATCTTGATGAGAGTTAAAAGTCATGTTGGTGAAGATATTTATCATAACCTCTGAAATGATCTTTAAACATACTAACCATGAGAATTATTCATTCTGGTCACTTGTTAAGGAGAGGATGCTAACTTAGACGACTACAGCAGCTGGCATGGTGGTGTAAGCCACCACCTGCAATGCTGGCATCCCATACGGGCACCCAGTCAAGTCCTGGATGCTCCACTTCTGATCCAGCTACTGCTAATGTTCCTGGGAAAGCAGCATAAGATGGCTCAAGTACTTGGGCCCCTGCCACCTATGTGGGAGACCCAGATGAAGCTCCTGGGTCCTGGTTTTTACCTGGCCTAGCCTTGGCCATTGCAGCCATTTGGAGAGTAAACCAGTGAATGGAAGAGCTCTCTGTCTCCTTGTCTGTCTGTAACTCCACCTTTCAAATAAATCTTAAAAAAAAAAAAAAAAGACTACCAAGTAATTTTAAAAGTTCATGGAAAAATAGAATGAAAAGGTAAGTTTATTTGTTGCAAAATTTTTGAAATCCATGCATAGTTCTTTCATAATTCATATTTTTCATGAGCTTTTTAAAGACTTTTTGTTCTCATGCATAGATTTCAGAATCTTTTTATACCAAAATAAAATTATCTTTTAATTTCATTTTCTTTCTTCTTCTTTTTTTTTTTTTAAATGTATTTGACAGGTAGAGCTATAGACAGTGAGAGAGAGACAGAGAGAAAGGTCTTCCTTCCGTTGATTCACTCCCAAAATGGCCGCTACGGCCAGCGCTGCGCCGATCTAAAGCCAGGAACTAGGTGCTTCCTCCTGGTCTCCCATGCAGGTGCAGGGGCTCAAACACTTGGGCCATCCTCCACTGCCTTCCTAGGCCACAGCAGAGAGCTGGACTAGAAGAGAAGCAACCAGGACTAGAACCCGGTGTCCATATGGGATGCTGGCACCGCAGATGGAGGATTAACCAAGTGAGCCACAGTGCTAGCCCCTAATTTCATTTTCAATAAACTTTTTGAAGTACCTGTTTATACTCTAAAAACTGTTTATTTTTATTTTATAATTTTAGAAGAATTCATTTCTAAGAATAGGATGATATTCTCCTGGAGATCTGTGGGTTCTTTTAATTTAAAAATTTTGTGACTAACACTAGGCAGAGAGCAGGGAAGATAGGCCTTAGGAAGTTCTTTAGTACCGTCACAGAACTCTGTGGACATTGTTTGTGATTCTTTTTTTTTTTTAATTTTACAGGTAGAGTTTTTAGGCAGTGAGAGAGAGAGACAGAGAGAAAGGTCCCCCCTCCGTTGGTTCACTCCCCAAATGGCCGCCATGGCTGGCGCTGCGCCGATCTGAAGCCAGGAACCAGGTGCTCCCTCCTGGTCTTCCATGCGGGTACAGAGCCCAAGCACTTGGGTCATCCACTGCCTTCCCGGGCCACAGCAGAGAGCTGGACTAGAAGAGGAGCAACCGGGACTAGAACCTGGTGCCCATATGGGATGCCAGTGCCACAGGCAGAGGATTAACCAAGTGAGCCATGCACTGGTCCCCTATTTGTGATTTTTTTTTTTTAGTCTTTCTGCTAAGTTACCTTGCCTGCAATCTGCAGTTCATCCAAAAGGATTTAGCTCCGATGGCCCTTCCAATATGGTCTTTAGATAACCAGAGCCAACCATGCTCAGTTGTTTGCGTGCCATTCAGGGCTGCTTCTGTTTGACAGCAGCAGAACTGAGTGGTTGTAATCAACTGTGACCTGTAAACTGGAAATATTTAATTTCTGGCCCTTTATAAAAAGTGTGCCAACCCTCCGTTGAAATAATGGTGTTCTAGGTCAGTGACTGCTCAATTTTACTGTCTTCTGTGTATATTTTTTATGCCCTATTGAATTGAAGAATGTTGTGCTTAATCTATTTTCCAGTACCACTCAACTTTGTCCCCTAAGATTTGCTTTACAATATACAAATAATTGCAGTTTTTTAACAAATAGGAATTCAAAAAAAGTTTCAAAAAACCACTTTTCTATCTGGATTGTTGATTCTCCAGTTAGGGAACATCCTATATTAAAAGAAGTGTTCGGGCCGGCGCCGCGGCTCACTAGGCTAATCCTCCGCCTAGCGGCGCCGGCACACCAGGTTCTAGTCCCGGTCGGGGCGCCGGATTCTGTCCCGGTTGCCCCTCTTCCAGGCCAGCTCTCTGCTGTGGCCAGGGAGTGCAGTGGAGGATGGCCCAAGTGCTTGGGCCCTGCACCCCATGGGAGACCAGGAAAAGCACCTGGCTCCTGGCTCCTGCCATCGGATCAGTGCGGTGCGCCGGCCGCAGCGCAGCAGCCATTGGAGGGTGAACCAACGGCAAAGGAAGACCTTTCTCTCTGTCTCTCTCTCTTTCACTGTCCACTCTGCCTGTCCAAAAAAAAAAAAAAAAAAAAAAGTGTTCATATGTGTACTGAATTTTCAGTGCAGTTCACTCTTCTTTTTGTGTGAAGTTCTGTTCTTTGCTAAAGAAAGCCACATTGGTTTCCCCAGATCAGACAGATAATACTTAGGTAGTTCATAGGTTCAAATTTAGGAGCTGAAGTGGAGCATACCAAGTACAGATAAAGACCACTAGTGAGTGTAAAACTCTTGGAACAGATATGTTTGTATTTTAGACACTTAATTATTTTTGATAATGAAAAATGCTCTACTTTATTCCCTCTGTACTGGCCAGGCTTTGGAGAGTAGTTGCCTAGAGAGAGGAATTCTTGGAGTTCTTCCTTAATGTTTACTTATTTATTTATTTATTTGTTTGTTTAAAAGGCAGAGTGGCAGAGAGAAAGAGATTTTTTTATCTGCAGGTTCACGCCCCAAATGTCCAACATTCAGGGCTGGGCCAGGTGGAAATCAGGAGCCTAGAACTCCATCCAGGTCTGCTATGTAGATGACAAGAACCCAACTACGTGGGCCACCGCATGCTGCCTCCCAGGTGCATTAGCAAGAAATTGGATGGGAAGCAGAGGTTCTGGGACTCACCAGAATGCTGATGTGAGTGTGGGCATCCCAAGCAATGACTTAGTCTGCTGTACCACAGTGCCCGCACCCATCATGTTTTTAAGGGCAACAACATCTACATTCCCTTGAAAGCAGACTGCTTTTTTAACTGTAGATTATATAACTTCATATCAGCATGTTTACCTGCATGTGCAAATGAACTTTAGAGACAGTTCACAAAATTTTTAATACCAATCATATGGTATAGTGAGTAGACAAGAACAGCACAGAGGGACCCAGGATGTCAGAGTTCTGGTGGCAGCACTGTCAGTAATACGCTTTGTGGCCGAGGTACCTAATCTTTCTATGTTTATTCCTCATCTATTAAATGGGCATAGTAATATCTATTACATTTACTACAGAGGATTACTGGGAAATTAAAATCACATAGCATGTGAAAAAAACTTGGAAGTCAATAACTTTGCACAAATACTATAATATAGAAGTAATGTCCCCTGGTCCTTATGTTCTGTTGAAAACAATTTTAGATGTGTTCTCTTAATGGATCTGCATCACATAATATTTAGCCTGATGAGTTAACCCTGGCAAGACCACTAATGTGTCTACAAATGCCATTGGTCTTCTAAATTTGGTGAATATCCAACTTAATGACTAAATTATTATTTGTGGTTGTGTTTCTGATATGTTTTGAATATAAGGGAAATGTCCTGTCACACTTGTGTGGAGCTTCAGTAACTCTGGCTGTCTTGTGTCTGCCTCCTGTAGGAGTTGATCTCGAGCAGTCAAGGAAGGAGGAAGAGCAGCAGATGCTGCAGGATGCCCGCCAGTGGCTCAATAGCGGGAAGATAGAAGACGTGAGGCAGGCTCGCTCAGGGGCCACCGCCCTGCATGTGGCCGCTGCAAAGGGCTACGCAGAAGTCCTCAGGTATCGTCCTTGTCCATCAGCCAGGGGTTTGGTTGACTGCAAGTTGAGATAGTTTTGGGAGCACAGGGTGAAGCAGATTTTCAAAAATGGAGTGCTGCCTTTGCTGTTGGTTTCCTCTCTGATCAGGCAGTCTTTCCTCCCGTTTTGCTGGCATTCTTCCACGGTGGTCTCCAGCCCTCTTACCATACCTTTGGTTTGTATGATGAGAATCAGAGTTGAGGTACCCAGGCCTAGGATGTGACTTCACAACACTTCTTCCAGCACTTCGAATTTATCCTTTGTATCCCTGCAACCTCCTCTACTTACGGCCTGTAATACAGGACAGACATGACATCATCTTGTTCCTTTTTGACTTGAATGATTTCTTGGGCTGAATAGATTAATTATACAGGTCTTGGTTGTCCAGCTGCAGTTGGTTAGTCAACTTAGATGAGGAGTTTGGACTCTACTACCCAACCTGTTCATTTCTCCCTACATCCATACATGCTTTGTGCAACTCTTGGTGCCTAATGTTGACAGGCTTTCCCAAATTTATGGATTGCTAAAGGCACTGGACCCTTCCAATGCTTCCTCGTCCACCCATCCTGGGGTTCCTGGTAGGTATAGCAGTGCTGGTACTCTTGTTTCTGCCAGAGAGTGGCATCCATGCTCTGTTAAATTCTCGGAAACTAGAGGCCCTTAGTATAGCTACCCCCAACCTGCTGGGTGCACTTTGGGGCTTCGGGAGTCATATCTTTCCTCTTCCAGACCTACATGTTAGACTATAGTTTTATAGGTAGCAAGACCCCTCTGCAGAACTTTTGCAGAGTTGGAAGTTTGAAAGTTCACAAAAAATATGTCCTGGAAAGCACAGCCCAGCCAGAAGGTTAGTTGATAAAGTGCTCTGAAGAGAATCGAGTCTTCATTTAGTTAATTCCTCGCTGCACGGGAAATTGGAAAACACACCTTGTAATGGAGTTGTTATTTGGCTAATTGAATTTGACTTTGGTTGATTTTGGCACACAGTTTTCCAAACACTTCTGCATAGGGACTACCATATAACCTTTATAACCTTATAACCATATAACCATATAACCTTTGGGACACAGTTGGTAAAAATCATCTATGACTGGTGCTCAAAGTAGTGACTATGAAACCTGAACTGTGCCTTAGGAGTGGAAATAATATAGAACCCCTGTGGTGCAAGGCCAAAATCTGGAATATAAATTAGTGATAGTTTATTTGACAGAAAACTATAAGACAAAGGAAATAAATGTCTTGTTTGGGGTTTTCTTCCTAGACTTTTAATTCAGGCTGGCTGTGAACTCAATGTTCAGGATTATGATGGCTGGACTCCCCTCCATGCTGCTGCACACTGGGGAGTGAAGGAGGCCTGCTCCATCCTGGCAGAGGCACTCTGTGACATGGATATCCGGAACAAACTGGTTAGTGGGTCTGAGCCTCTGAAATGGCAATGAGATTGGTGGGTCTCTAGAACAACAGGCTCAGAGTCTGTGTTCAGTAGCCAGGCTGGCTGCTCTGAGGACATACAGTCACTGGGAGCTGGGATGCTGCCCTCCATGACCCCAGCCCTGTCTGCAGTATCAGCCCAGATCGCTGGCCCAGGCTTCTGATCCTGTTTATCTTGAAGCCTCCAAAATAAACAGGCAAAAAGGTGTTTGCCCCTTGGCCAAAAATGAGTTTTGCAAGGGCCCAAAGTCACTGTCTTGCTGTCTCGCTTGCAAGGTTGGGAAATGTCTGGCCCGTAGACTGTATAAGGGTCAGGAAATAATTTGGTCTGGCTCTGCCAAGGCAACTGCGGGTAGAACTCAAATTTCACTAAATCTATTTAAAATTTTTTTTAAGTTGATAATTTTAAAGTTGGTAATTTTGTATGGCCTGCGAATAATGTTATAAATATCCACATGGCCATTGGCAGAACACAGGTTCCCCACCTCTGGGTAAGGTGTGGAAGATTTTATTATTTTTTAATTCAAAGTCTTTTTAAAAAACTTTTTGGAGGATGGGGGAAGATTTATTTTATTCATTTATTTGAAAGGCAGAGTAACCTAGCAAGAAGGAGAGACAGAGAGAGAGATCTATCTGCTAATTGACTCCCTAAATGACTGCAACAGCCAAATGTTGACTAGGCCAAAGCCAGGAGCCTGGTCTCCCACATGAGTGACAGGGACCCAAGTACTTGGCCATCTTCCAATGCTTTTCCAGGTGTGTTAGTGGGAAGCAGCAGTTTAAACCACTACACCACAACACTAGTCCCTGAAACACCTTTTGATTAGTAGGTAAGTGTTCTTATTTGCCTCATGTCTCTCCTGAACCTAGGTTTCATTCTTAAACTGCACATCAAGTTCCTTAATTGTGCCAATGTTTCCTAAAAGATGAGCTTTTTTTTTTTTAAGATTTATTTATTTGAAAGGCAGAGTTACAGAGAGGCAGAGGCAGAGGCAGAGAGAGAGAGAGAGAAGGGTTCTCCATCTGCAGGTTCACTCCCCAGGTGGCCACAATGGTTAGAGCTATGCCAATCTGAAGCCAGGAGCCAGGAGCTTCTTTCAGGTCTCCCATGCAGGTGCAAGGACCCAAGGACCTGGGCCATCTTCTACTGCTTTCTCAGGCCATAGCAGAGAGCTGGGTCAGAAGAGAAGCAACTGGGTCTTGAACCGGTGCCCACATGGGATGCCGGCACTGCAGCGTGCAGCCCCACCCACTACGCTGCAGCGCTGGCCCCAGAGATGAACTTCTAATCTGCCTTCCTATCACCTAGAGGGAGATGATTCCTGTGACTTAATACTTAGTGCTCGAGGGTCCTGAAACTCCCTCTGGGATTTCTTAAGGGCTTCTTATTGAATTTATCATAGAAATTAAGACCATTTTAGAACAGATACAAGTGGGAGTCTTACTTGATTATTTGCCAAGAATCAATAAGCATTAGAAATGAGTGTTGACTTCCTCAATATTATTTTACAAACTATTAGACTCTGTATTTAAAGGATTTGCTGTTTCTTGTGTTTCCTGTGTAATAATTGAAGGTGTCATACTGGAGGATAGATTAGTTAGGGAAGTGGTGATCATTTAAATCAAAGGCAGAAAGTGAATACTGAGTAATTCTCTGACAGTTGCTGCTTTTGTTTTCAGTCAGTCATGGTGCCCTTTTCTCTTGCCAGGGCCAGACACCGTTTGATGTGGCTGATGAGGGTCTTGTGGAGCACCTGGAGATGCTCCAGAAGAAGCAGAACGTGGTGAGTCCCTGGTGGTGCTTTGACAGCTTTTCCAACCACTTGCAGTCTGTACCAGGCGTCTCAAGAACTTGCTTTGGCTGTGTCTGCAGAGAGCGAGAGTGAACACACCTGCATCCCAGAGATGTTGGTTGTTCCCTGAAGGACCCATCAACAGTCTGGTAGAAGAAAGTATCCCCGAAGCCACTGTTGTCAGCTCTGCTCATTGTGAGATAGCCTTCTAGCAGCTCAAAGTGAAAAACAACAAAAACCTGATAATTAACTTTGAATTCTTTTTTTTTTTAATTCTAGCTCTTTTTTTTTTTTTAAGGTTTATTTACTTGAAAGTCAGAGTTACACATATAGAGAAGGAGAGGGAGAGAGGGAGGAAGGGAGAGAGAGAGAGAGAGAGAGAGAGAGAGGTCTTTTGGGCCAGAGAGAGAAAGAGGTCTTTCGGGCCCGTGCCGTGGCTCACTTGGTTAATCCTCCGCCTGCGGCGCCGGCATCCCATAAGGGCACCGGGTTCTAGTCTCAGTTGCTCCCCTTCCAATCCAGCTATCTGCTGTGGCCCAGGAAGGCTGTAGAGGATGGCCCAAATGCTTGGGCACCTGCACCCACGTGGAGACCAGGAAGAAGTACCTGGCTCCTGGCTTCGGATCAGCGTAGCTCCGGCCATGGCAGCCATTTGGGGGGTGAACCAATGGAAGGAAGACCTTTCTGTCTCTCTCTCACTCTCTCTCACTGTCTCACTCTGTCAAATTAAAAAAAAACAAAAAAACAAAAGAGGTTTTCCATCCTCTGGTTCACTCCCCAGTTGGCCAATTGGCCACAGGGTCTGGAGCTGTGCTGATCCGAAGTCAGGAGCTTCTTCCGGGCCTTCCACATGGGTGCAGAGGCCCAAGGATTTGAGCCATCTTCTATTGCTTTCCCAGGCCATAGCAGAGAGCTGGATCAGAAGTGGAGCCAGGACTCGAACCGGTGCCCATATGAGATGATGTCACTGCAGGCGGCAGCTCACCTGCTTCGCCACAGCGCCGGCCCCACTCTTGAATCTGGAAGATGAATGTGATGTGTTCAACTGAGAGGCTTTTCTTTTTTTTTCCCAAAGAGAGTACCAGAGTAGAGAATGCCTCATAGCTTTTTTTTTTTCCTTTTTGACTAAAAGGATACCTTTATTTAAGGTGTTGATTACAGAGAGGAATATATTTCTTTCTTAAAAAACAAACACACACAAGTAAAACTGGCATTTAGCGTTGGACAGTAATTTGTCAGTAACTCATACTTATTTCAGATTCATAAAACATCCAGAATTTAGTCCTCCTGTCTCTCTCTTCTGTTTGTTTTATTTTTTAAATATTTATTTATTTATTTGAAAATCAGAGTTACACAGAACAGAGGGAGAGAGGGGGGGGGTCTTCCATCCGATGGTTCACTCCCCAGATGGCCGCAACAGCCGGAGCTGTGCCGATCCAAAGCCAGGAGCCAGGAATTTCTTCCCACCCAGGTACAGGGGCCCAAGGGCTTGGACCATCTTCTACTGCTTTCCCAGGCCATAGCAGAGAGCTGGATCGGAAGTGGAGCAGCCAAGACTTGAACCGATGCCCATATCGGGTGCCGGCACTGCAGGCGGCAGCTTTACCTGCTATGCTACAGCCCCAGCCCCTGTTTTAAATCTTATATTGTTTTAATGCATATGCCATTCTGCTTGGCGCCCTCCAGAACCATGGAACCACAGTTTCCATGTACAGCCTGCAGAGTGGGAAACTCACCCAGTGTGCAGATGAAGGGTGAATACGTTGCCTTTTTTTTTTCTTTAAAGATATGTTTCTTTATTTGAAAGGCAGAGCAACAGAAAGAAAAGGAGAGACATAGAGTGGAGATACAGAGAGAGATCTTCCATCTGCTGATTCACTCCACACATGGCCTGGCCAAAGCCAGAAGCCTAGAACTTTATCTGGGTTCCCCTCATGGGAGGTAGGGGTACAAGTACTCTAGCCATCATCCTATGCTTGCTTTCTTTCTTTCTTTTTTTGTAAAAAAAATTTTTTAGTTATTTATTTGAAAGAGTTACACAGAGAGAGGAGAGGCAGAGAGAGAAAGAGAGGTCTTCCTTCTGATGGTTCACTCCCCATTTGGCCCCAATGGCCGGAGCTGGGCTGAAGCCAGGAGCTTCTTCCAGGTCTCCCACGTGGATGCAGGAGCCCAAGGACTTGGGCCATCTTCCACTGCTTTACTAGGCCATAGCAGAGAGCTGGATCGGAATTGGAGCAACTGGGTCTTGAACCAGTGCCCATATGGAATGCCAGCACTTCAGGCCAGGGTGTTAACCCACTGCGCCACAGCACCAGTCCCGTCCTCTGCTTCCATAGGTACGTTAAAAGGAAACTGGATCAGAAGCCAAGACTTGAACTGGTACTCCAGTACGGGATGCCAGTGTAGCAAGCGGCCCCTTAACCTGCTGTGCCACAACACCAGCCCCAGTAAGTTGTTTTTGCTCTCCTTGAAGGGGAGGAATAATTCAGGTGAGGATAATAAAGATCATCGACAGTAGAGTGGACAAGGAGAGTCACAGCTTTCCTTTGTTTTTTCCTTTATATGTGCTGTGACTCAGGGCATGTGCATCTGTAGGACAAATATGGGAAATAGAACATCTCGGAATCAAGAAAGTAAGCAGCTTGGTAGTGGGGCTATCAACCATTTGGAACTTCAGGTATGTCCAGCATAATGTCTGGATTGGTAAAGCAAAGGTTTTGATTACGTCAAGGCTCAGTGAGAAAGTTACATGAAGCTCAGACAGGAGCAGCATTTAGCCTGGTAGTTAGGGTGCCTGCAGCCCACATCGGAGTGCTTGGGTGCGGTTTCCAGCTTCGGCTCCATGCAGACCCTGAAAGACAAAAGTAATGCCTCAGGTAACTGGGTTCCTGACTTCCGAGAGACCTGGAGTGAGTTCCCGGCTCCTTGCCTTGATCCCCACCATTATATGCATTTTGGGAATGAATAAGCAGATGGGAGTTTCCTCTCTGTCTCTCTGTCTCTCCCCTTCAAAATATAAATAAATAAATAAATAAATCTCAGACAAATGCAACTTTAGTTTTTTGTTGTTGTTGTTGAGCAGTTTTTGTTTGTTTCTTTGTTTAGCAGTAGCTAAAAGCTGGGACTTTGAGATACAGTGTCAGTGCTATTACTTAGCAACAGCTTTCCTAATGTAAGATGTGTACTTTGCAGAATTAGGTGTTTGTAGTTTTTTAGAACTATTCTACAGTAATTTTTAGACTCACATAGAAGTTGCAAAAATAGGTTAGAGCATTCCTGTGCAGCTTTTACCCAGCATAGTTGGTTTTAGAACATAAATAATATCTTCACTTAGTAACATTTCTGTGTTAATGGGAAGAGTACTTACTTTGCCATCCTCTTCTTTCCCCCACACAATTTTGGGTTTCAGGGATATAAATATATTTTGTCTAGAGCATGCATCTAAATACAGGCCATTTTCTACAAGGACTTATTTCACATTTGGAACCTGTGTTTTTCCTTTCTTTCTTTCTTTCTTTCTTCTTCTTTTTTTCTTCTTCTTTCGTTTTTTTTTTTTTTTTTTTTGTTGACAGGCAGAGTGGACAGTGAGAGAGAGAGAGACAGAGAGAAAGGTCTTCCTTTTTCCGTTGGGGTGAACCAACTGGCAGCTGCGGCTGGTGCACCACGCTGATCCGTAGCCAGGAGCCAGGTGTTTCTCCTGGTCTCCCATGGGGTGCAGGGCCCAAGCACTTGGGCCATCCTCCACTGCACTTCCTGGCCACAGCAGAGAGCTGGCCTGAAAGAGGGGCAACCAGGACAGAATCCGGCTCCCCTAGCTGGACTAGAACCCGGTATGCCGGCGCTGCAGGCGGAGGATTAGCCTATGGAGCCGCGGCGCCGGCCAAGAACCTGTGTTTTCTTTAAAACTATTGCCAATGTATTTCAGTATATAGATCATAAAATATCTTTCTTTTTTTTTCTTTTAAAGATTTATTTATTTGAAAAGCAGAGTAACAGAGAAGGGAGGGAAAGACAGAGAGAGGGAGCTCTTTAATCTGCTGATTCACTCCCCAAATGGCCACCATGGGTGGGGCTGGGCCAAGCCTAAGCCAGGAGTCAGTAACTATCCAGATCTCCCACGTGGGTGTCAGAGACCCAAGCACTTGGGCCATCCTCCACTGCTTTTCTAGGTGATTAGCAGGAAGCTGGGCAGGAGGCAGCACAGCTGGAACTTGAACTGGTGCTGCAATAGGGGCCATCAGGCAGTGATTTAACTTGCAGTGCCACAGCCCTGCCCTGTAAAGTGTCTTTGATGTGTTCTTCTTGCTTTCTGTCCTTCAGAAGGTAAGCTTTATGGGCAGATAGATTTGGATATTTCATAAGGACAGTGCTATTGAAGCTTTAACACCATTGTTTTTCCTCTTTTACCTTGGATGAGGATTTTCTTCTGCCACCTTAGGAGACCCAACTGATACGTTTCTTCTCCACAGTCCCCTTCCTCCCACTCGGGTGTAGGCCCTGTCTTCAGAATGATGGTGTCCTTCTGGTTCTTCCCAATACTGCTGATCTTTCACTAATAGTCACCTTCTTCCCCTTTGTCTCTATTTTCTCAACTTCCAGCTTCGAAGTGAAAAGGAGACACGGAATAAACTCATTGAGTCAGACCTGAACAGCAAGTTGCAGAGTGGACTCTTTAAGAAGTAAGGCACTGAGACTTGAGAAATGAGACGAGCTTTCTTGTGTGTGGATGCCGTGCTTAGCTTAAGAATTTATGTGATGAACAAACTTTGTGTTTGATTTTTAGCCAGATGATCTTTAAACCCGTGAGAAAGTTTTTAGAGTGAGGAAGTGGTGTTGGTACATGGGGAGAGCACTGAGGATGGTTGAGTGTGTTTTAAGTTCAGAAGCTAATTGAGATGGCACGCAGCTTTCTCTTTCTCCTAACATAGGAGTTCTTAGCCCCTTACTTCTTATAAGTTCTGCAAATTCAGGAATCAAGTCTGTTTTATTAACCAGCTTACCAATGCCTTGCCTGATTCCTGATGTGTAATGAGTACTCTATAAACATTTATTAAATGATTTTTAAAAGATTTATCTGTTCCATCATTATCAAATTTTGTAGCTTTCCTTGTTTCTGTGGGCCAAACAGGCCAAATCTTCTGGTGTGAAATGCTAATGCACAGTACACAAAAACCCAGGGTTTAGAAAAACACACAGCTGTGAAGAAGCATTTGAATATATTTCTGTTATTGCTTCTGCATAGGCTTGTAGACTTGTTCCTTTATTACACCTGACTATCAGTGAGTGAATTGGTTTCTCCTGAATTATGCTCAAGTTGTCGTCTTTACTTCAGCAAGGAGAAGATGCTCTATGAAGAGGAGACGCCCAAGTCTCAGGAACTAGAGGAAGAAAGCAAAGAGTCCAGCAGCTCCAGCTCAGAGGAGGAGGAGGGTGAAGACGAAGCTTCCGAATCAGAAAACGAGAAGGAGTCGGGTAATGCAAAGATGTTCACAGCCACGCTTCTGTTTCCGTAACGAGGAGATCACTGCTTGTCAGAGAGCTAGCCAGGCCTCCCAGGGGTCCCAAGGGGACCTGAAGTTTCATTTTCAAGGATAAGATATCAAATTTCTAGTGACAACCTGATTGTAAAGCTGTGAGCTATGTTAGACTGTATCTTCCAGTTCCTATTTAGCCATATGATAAGGTGCACAAAGAACACAAAGAATTCTTGCTCAGGGGAGCCAACTTTCCTTCCCTCAGGGTGGTAGATGGCGCAGAGACCAGATTCCAGAAAACTGCTGTGCCAAGAGGCAGAGAAGGTGAAATCTTACAGATGCGCTTTTGGTCAGATTTTTTATTTTTTTAATATTTATTTTATTTATTTGAAAGACAGAGTTAGCGAGGTCTTCCATCTGCTGGTTTACTTCCCAAAGACTGCAACGCCTAGAAGCTGAGCTGATCCAAAGCCAGGAGCCAGGAGTTTCTTCTGGGTCTACCACATGGGTGCAGGGGCCCAAGGACTTAGGCCATCTTCTACTGCTTTCCCAGGCCACAGCAGAGAGCTGGATCAGAAGTGGAGCAGCCGGGACTCAGTTGGCACCCATATGGGATGCCAGTGCTACAGGCTGGGGCTTTAACCTGCTGTGCCACAGCAGCGGCTCTGGTCAAATACTTTTAATCAACAGTGCTGAGATTTGTCTGATTCTCTGAACAGAGTCCTTAAATCTTTTTCTTTTTTTTTCTCATTATGTAAAGTTCCTTCCATTCCTGAGTAAAGAATTGAGGAAGATACAAAGTTATATTTACCTTTATGATTCTTATTGATAATATATATCATATGGAGCTTCTTATGTTTATTATTTGACAGTACTCATGTAGGAACCCCAACAGTGAGTAAGATGGTCAGACCAATAAGCTGTATCCCATCGGTTTTGAGTTATAGTCAGGCAACCACTGAGAAAAGAGGTACTAGGTTATATTGAACACAGAGTCATGGGCCAACAGAATAGCTCTCATACATCATTGGAAGTTAATGATAAAGTACGGTTTTATAGTACATATGTCTTACATTCACTGACATATTATCCCTCCAGATTTGACTGCATAATAAGTTAAAATGTTTTCAAGTAGAAGACCAAGTTAGAGGGGAAAGGGTCACACATCAAGTGTGATATGGAGTCTGCATTTTCCTCTGAACTCAGGCGTAGCTGGCCTGCCCATAATGAAGGTCTTTAACTCGCTGTGTTGTCTGGCCCCAGCTCCTCATGAGGTCTGGCTTCACTGATATGACATGTTTCAAACTCAGATTCGCTGTCCCCAGAGGAGTGAGAACCCTCAGTTCTCTAGAGAAGACAGGCACCAGCGAGGGTAGCAGTTTCAGAGATGATCCTGAGACTTGAATTTCTGTTATTAATCAGCCATAACCCTGTGGAAATACAAGGATAATATTTGTATCAACTTATATATGTCTATCTTTGTTATATTTGTACTGTTTATTGAATATAGGTTCTAGGTTTCAAGTATTACCTGGAATTAATACGTGGGCTTGCTCTATGCTGAATAACTTTCGTTAGCTACTAAGACATTAGAAAAATGGGAGGTGGCTGCCTGAACTATTGCCGATGCTTTGGACCCCTGCCTCCAGATCTTTGCCCCCTGCAGCCCATCTCTGCCTTGTGCCTTTCTGATCATGCTGTGCCTGTGTTCAGAAACCTCTCCCCTTCCTCTCTCCATCCCTGTCTACAGAGTGAATCCCAAACACCACGGCCTGGCCTACAGAGCCTTTCATAATCTAGTCCAGCTGACCTTTTCAGTGCTGTACATAGATAAGGGCATGCGCTCGCCAAACTGGGTTGTTTGATTTCCTCTAACAGCCTGGCTTTCCTGCCCCTGAACATCTATTTGTGCTTAGAATTCATTTCAGACTATAACATGCTTGTCAAGTGATTTGCTAGAAGCTGCAGGACCTAGTAGATTGAAAAAGTCTTTCTTTAGGTTTTTCTGGTCTGGGAAACTGAAAAGGAGTGGACGTTTTCACTCTTTTCCCATTGCTTAAGGGCTCCCCTCCTGTGTCCCTCTGGTACTTTGTACTATTATTTCTCTGTCACACTCACTGTTTTGGCTGGAAACTCTGTGTTTAACGTTGTACCCCTAGGTCTCAGCACACTGCTTTGCACATGACAGGCAATCACCGTTATTGAATGTTTTTTGCTGAATATGTCCAGTAGGGCAGTGTGAAAGCATATACATGAATGAAATGCAAGTCCCATGAGTGATACAAGTGCAGCCAGTGGTATCCACTAGTCAGAGAGATTATATCTAGCTCAGGGAATTATAACAAAGCTTTACATTTGCATAGTGTTTTTTACTTTGCAGTGTACTTAATGTCTTTACTTAACTCTTATTGCCAAACTGTGGAATGTTATTTTTACCACTTTCTAGATTGGGCAGTTGACACTCTATGAGATTAGGTAAATTAGACTTCACAGTTAGAAAGTAGCCTGCCTGAGATCCTGACTTTGATCTGGGACTTCTCAAAATAGCAGGGATCCTGGAAATTATCAGCCTAAGAAGTGAAAGGTAAAACTATAGAAAAGGATGAGATCCCAAGGGAGAGATTGTCTAGAAAAAAGGCACAGAAAAAAAATCTCAGTCATACTAGGTTTAGGAAGTGAAGTGGAATCAGTGAAAGAGGAAATGCAAATGTAATCAGAAAGACTGAGAAAAAGCAGGATATGTACTTCTGCATCAGAGAAGCCGAGGGAGTGGTGAGAAAGGAGAGCAGTTGGGATCTAATCCTAGAGAGCAGCTTCAGGAACCTGGGGTAGGCAGAAGGCAGATGGTTCCAGATGCTTCCTCGACTCTGTAGTTTTCCACCAGCTGAAATTTTACTCATGTTTCAGAACCCAGCTCAGATCAGTTTCCTTTATGAAGCCTTATGGTATATATAGAAAGTCTTTTTTCTCTCCTCTGACTCCTGTAGCTATGAGGGTACTTCAAAAAGTTCATGGAAAAAAGCCATTAAAAGGTAAGTTTATTTTTGTACAGAATATTTTGGAACTCTTTGCATAGTCATTCCATAAAACTCATTTTCCATGAGCTTTTTCAAGTACCCTAGTGTTTGAACTTCCTTCATATTACTTATACTGTTTAATGCTCACGTTATTTCTCCTTTTTATTATGTCTTCTGTTCCTCCACTGGCAAGCTTCAGAAGTGTTTGATTATATTATGTGTATCATTCATCTTTCTGTCTTACCATAGTGCCAGGCACAGGACTTCTGTGTGGTAGGTGCTTGGTAAATATATGTTGCAAAAGCACAAAGATTTCCTTTAACCTTTTCTAATCATTGCCTGTTATAGATGTGTATATGAAACAAATCTCTGTGAGAGTGTTTATCCTATTTTTAAGGATGCACAGATACACAGTTGTCATGTGTCTTACTGATAAATGTTTTGTTTTGAGGTGTCCATAAACAATTTGATTTGGATTTTATTTTTATTCTCTTTTATTTATTTGACTTAAACATTTGGTATATCAGTTATATATTGCCATTTAACAAACCATCCCGAAACTTAGTGTCTTACAAGAACTTAGGAGCCCTTTCTCTGGGTTGGCAATTTGGCAAGGGCTCTGCTGGATGGCTTGTTTCCTCCAGTGGTATTGCTGGGCTCACTCATATCTTTGTGATCTGTTAATAAGTCAGCGAGGGAGGTCTGATCCTTTGTGTTGGTTGGCCAGGAGGTTTTAGGGCAAGTGGACCATGTGTCTTTTATCATTAGGCTGGCTAGTCTCTGTATCTTCAAGGGCAGCTGAATTCCAAGAGCAATCACAGAGGCCAAGGCTCAATACACAAGCACTTTCCAAGCTTCTGCCTGTGTCACATTTGCTGATATCTCAGTGTCTATAGCACGTCATAGGATCTACCCCACAGTCAGTATAAGAAGGTGCTACCCAAGAGTGTTAATTCAGGGACGCATGGTTCACTGGGAGCTATTACTGTAACCTGTTTGTCTCATTTGGCTAGTAAAGTGGATTTCTTGGGGGTAGAGATATTCAGATAGTATTTAAAGAATGACTTGAATATTCACAATAACTATGAAAGTAACTGGTAACATTAATAATAACAAAAGAGACTTAACTATCGCCAGTCATTGAGCTGCACAATTTAAAAAATACTATTATATCTTTAAAATAATTATTATGAGGTAAGAATTAAAATCCTTGATTAACCAGTGAGAAAATAGAGGTTCAAATATGATAACTTCCAAGTATTACACAGTTAGGATGTGGCTTAAAAATGTCACAGAAGGCCTAGTGGGTAAAGCCGCCGCCTGCAGTGCTGGCATTCCATATGGGCATTGATTCAAGTCCCAGCTACTCCACTTCCAATTCAGCTCTCTGCTATGGCCTGGGAAAGCAGAAGATGGCCCAATGTGGGAGACTTGGAAGAGATTCCTGGCTCCTGGCTCCGGATCGTTGCAGCTCTGGCCATTGTGGCCATCTGGAGAGTGAACCAGCAATAGAAGACCTCTCTCTCTCTGCCTCTCTTTCTCTCTTTGTGTAACTCCAACTTTCAAATAAATAAATAAATCTTAAAAAAAAAAAAGTCACAGAATTCATGGATGGATTACACAGACCAGAACTATGCCCACTAGGTGCAGGCACTGTGCTAGTAATTTAGTACAGAGTAGTGAATGAAACAGACAAGGTTTCTGCCTGGTGAAAATACTGAGATGGACCACTCCTGTTTATGTTAATGTGCGTGTAGCTACTAAAGTTCTGTAACTTAACATGTAACATCCTCTCTAATCCTTTTTATCTTTATTTCCTAATGTAACCCCGAGAATACCTATTACTTACATTGGGCCTGCCACTTCACTAACAGATGTGTATATTTTGATTTCCTTTTTTTTTTTTTAAAGACTTATTTATTTATTTGAAAGTCAGAGTTACACAGAGAGAGGAGAGGCAGAGACAGAGAGAGAGGTCTTCCATCTGCTGGTTCACTCCCCAAATGGCCGCAACAGCCGGAGCTGCGCCGATCCAAAGCCAGGAGCCACGAGCTTCTTCCGGGTCTCCCACGTGGGTGCAGGAGCCCAAGGACTTGGGCCATCTTCCACTGCTTTCCCAGGCCATAGCAGAGAGCTGGATTGGAAGTGGAGCAGCCAGGTCTCGAACCGGCGCCCATATGGGATGCCGGCGCTTAGGTCAGGGCATTAATCCTCTGCGCCACAGCGCTGGCCCCATATTTTGATTTCTGAACCATTATTTATGCCTTTTATTTCTCTTCCACTTGCCAATCAGTATTATCTTCCAGTTTCTTCCATGGTTTGATTTCTGTGGTGGACTCTGACTAATATTACAGTTTTCCCTTATTGTTTCCTCTCTCAGGATTTTCCTTTTCTCTGAACTCCATAGCAATTGTTGATCTGAATCAACCAGTTTTAACACCTAAATTATATATGTATATATCTTGGTACTATCACTATTTCTCTCTCTCTCTTTAAAGATTTATTTATTTATTTGAAAGCAGAGTTATAGAAAGAGAGAGAGAGAGAGATCTTCCATTCTCTGGTTCACTCCCCAGATGGCCACAATAGCTCCAGCTGGGCCTCACCAAAGCCAGGAGCCTGGAAGTCCATCCAGGTCTCCTACAAGAGAGATAGGCCAGGTACTTGAGCCATCTTTCACTGCTTGCCGGGCGCATTAGCAGGGAGCTGGATTGGAAGTGGAGCAGCCAGGACTGAAACAAGAGCTCAGATGGGATGCAGGTATCACAGATGGTCGTGTAACCACTGCACCACAATGCCAGCCCTTCAATGTAGTTACCCAGAAAGCAAGGTCAATCATTTTCTGGTCTTTCCAGCCCACCCTCCAAAAAACAAAGAGTAGATTCCTATGTAGTTACTGATGATTTTTTATATATAATTACTAATTTGGAGAGAATTTTTATCTGGAAATTGAAGTTGGAACCTACCAAAATGAGCATACCATTGAGTTTGTTTTCTTCCATCAATAATTGCTTGAGATTTCATCTTAGTTTGAGCCAGACATCACATGGCCCTAATAATATGTTTGGAACATGGGCAGCCCCTTTCTATTAGCAGAAAAGCTCATATCCACACAGAGATAAGATTTCATACTTGCACTTGTTGCTTCTCTTGTCTTAAATAACAGATAAAAAGCCAGAAGCCATTGTCAGCCATTCCAACTCTGAGAGCAAGAGTAGTATCATGGAGCAGATACCAGCGCCAGCTCAGAATGCCTTCTCTGCCTCTTCTACTAGGAGAGTGAGTACTGTGGAATTACTTTGGCTGTTATATTTCACCCTACTGCAATAACAACATTTAGAAAGACCTTAAAAATACTCTCTTGCAAAACAATGTACATTCTTGCCTGTGCTAGTCTTCTCCCATGATAAATTACCTCAGACTAGGAGACATAAACAGAAAGTTATTTCCCATAGTTCTGGAGGCTGGGATGTCTCAGATCAAGCTACCAGTGGTTTTTTACTTCCTGGTAAGGGCTCTCTTCCCAACTTGAAGCTAGCTACCTTCTTGCTACCTCTTAATGTGGTGAACAGAGAGAGCTCTTCTTAAAAGGGCACTAGTCCTATGAGATTAGGGTCCTACCTTTCTGACCTCATTTAACCCTCATCATCTCCTTATAGGCCTTGTCTCTAAATATAATTACATTTGGGGTTGGGGCCTCAACATATGAATTTATAGGGTCCAGACATTCAGTCTAATTACATTATCCAAAAAATTCCTATAAAACCATCATCAAACAAATTTAACTATACAGTTTTAAGATAACACACACACACACACACACACACACACACATATATATATATATACATAGTCTGGGACTAAATAAATTTTGTCATTTGCCTGTTTTCTTCATTATCTGAAATTAGCTGTATCTAAAGTTTGGACTGGGCTGGGGAGTCATCTCATTCCCTGAATTAATTGTTTTGATCACTGTCTCCTTTTTTTACTTCAAAACCTAAATTTCATAAGTAAAATCTTCGTACCTTATGATGGGCAGGCAGATGGCAGCGGTAGGAAGTATTGAATAGCAGAGGCAGTTCCTCCTGTACTCTGTGCAGCCCTCAGAGTGTAGGCGTCCTCAGCGAGGCAGAGCTGGGCGATGGCTGCTCTGCAAAGGGCACATTTAGCTTTGAGGTTAAAAATTGATCTGAGTTCTTTGAAATGAAGCTGTGGAAAAAGCTCTGTGGTTTTACAGTTGTCAAGTTATTGATCTTCTTAGCGCCTAGTAAATTGGAAAAATGGGCATATGGCATCATTGTGGAAATGAGGGAACAAAGTGCAGGCTACTTATTTGTTCCTAGAGCTATCACTGTGCACCATTCGAGAGGTTCACGTAGTATGCAGTCCTCACTCATGCGCCAGTCATTTAGGTGGATCTCACAGATTGCCACTGCTTCTATGTGAAACTAATCTTTATTTTTAAAAAATAAAAACATCGAGTCAAAAAAATACAAGCACACACATGTGCTTATTACACTTTGCTAAAATAATTCTGGGACAGGCATTTTCCCCCTTAGAATGAGAGTAACTTACAGAAAGCTGATTGAGCCTCCAGAGCTGAAAGGAATTGTGAGTACATTAAGATGGCAGATGGAAGAAAGAAGTCTGAGCTGGAGACAAAGGGCTTACATTTTTATTGCATTTTCACCATCCCGGGCAGTGAAAACGGCTTGACATGGGGAGAAGGACTCAAGCGTCCGTTCAGAGTTCCCCAGGCTCAGGAAGGGACTGCTGGCTGAAGTCATACTTCCAAATGATCCTTGAGGGGACGGTAGTCTATTATATTTCCCTGGTTTGCAACAAACTGCAATAATTAATTATAAGCTTTCTTTTGTGCTTATTGTTCTTTTTTTAATGTAGTGATGGTGATGGTTTTTTCTTTTATGAGAAGATGACAAAATATAAAAGGTGGCAGTTGTTTGAATTTTTTTGGTCTTGATTTTGCTGGTCAGTGAAAAATATAACACATGGAACTGCTGGCCTATCTCAAATAAACTATCTTCTTTAAGTCAACAATCAGAATTTGAGTAGAGTTACCTCTAGTATTTTTACTGTTATTAGCTTTGTACACCCAGTACCTTAAAATGTTATTTATACATTAACTCATCATGTGTCTTCTAGTCTAGATATATATGTATACTTCAAAAAGTTCATGGAAAATGGAATTAAAACATAAGCTTATTTTTGCACAAAAATTTTGATAGTATAGTTTTTCCCATAGTATGTATTTTTCTTTTTTTATGATTTATTTATTTGAAAGGCAGAGTTACAGAGAGAGAAGGGGAGACACACACACACACACATAGAGGTCTTTCATCTACTGGTTCACTCCTCAGATGGCTGCAGTGGCCAAAGCCAGGAGATTGGAACACTATGCAGATTTCCCACATGGGTGGCAGGGCCCCAAGTTCTTGGGCTGTCTTCTGCTTTCCCAGGTGCATTAGTGGGTACCTGGAATGGAAGTGGAGTAGCTTCTAGGATGCTGGTGTTGCAGGCAGCAGCTGAATCCACTGCGCCACAATGCCAACCCCAAATATGCATTTTTCATGAATTTTTTGAAGACATTTTGTATGCATTGATTTCAAGGTTTTTATGCATCAAAGTAAACTTTATCTCAAGGAGAATTAAGCTCATTATTACCATTTTATTGATGTGCATGTTGAGACCTAGAGAAGTGAAATGTCTCGTTTTCAGTGGTATGTGAGTCAAGAGAAGATGTCCTACCAGAACTCTGTCTCCTGGTGCTCTGGGTTAGTGTTACTTGCATAAGGAGAGCAAATGGTATTCAATTTCCCAGGGCAGCTCTGTCAGCTAGGAGCAGTGTGTTAAGAATCTGAGACTATTGCCTTGAGAGGTTACTAGCATCTGCCGGGTGGGGAAGGGAACGTTGGCAGAAAGCTGCCCTGTGTTCTACAGTTTTGTGTTGCCTCCCCGAAACTTGTTAGGTATGGAAAAGCCAATCAGTCTGGAAAAGAACAGCCAGAACCTTTCCTTTTCATCCCTTCTCTTTGCATCTTCCCTCACAGTACTCCTCCAGCTTCTTTAATAAGTCAGAAGAGCCCAAAGATGAGTCCCCCTCTTCGTGGAGACTAGGACTCAGGAAAACTGGCAGCCACAACACGCTGAGTGAGGCGGCCAACTCCAGGGAAGCTCTGCGGGACCGCGGCTCCTCCATCTACCGCTCCTCGTCAAGCCCTCGGATTTCCGCTCTGCTGGACAATAAAGAAAAGGTGTGGTTTGGGCAGGATATGGGGGAATTTCAAAGCAGTTTTCTTTCATGAAAATTCCATCTTGGGAATAAATGAAATATTTTCTAGGCTATTAGTTGATTCTGGAAGTACAAAGCCTTTAAAGGGAGCAGGCATAGTGATACTTTAGCCAAGTAGCTATTTGTTTGCTTTTATTTACTTGGCAAAAAAGCATGGGGGGGGGGCTTTAAAAATAGCTTTTTTCTATTGGCTTACTGTGTGTTTATTCTTCTTAGCCACCTAGAGCAAAACAGTGGATCAGAAGCACGAAAATTTGAATATGGCCTAAAATGTTCTTCTGAACCAAACCAGAAACTTACTCTTAAAAAAAATTATTTATTTGAAAGGCATAGTTGCAGAGAGAGAGAAGGAGAGACAGAGAGATCTTTTGTCCCCTGGTTTACTCCCCAAATGGGTGCAACAGCCAGGGTTGAGCCAGGCTGAAACTAGGAGCCAGGTCTCCCACATAGATTCTCCGCAGCTTTCCCAGGCACATTTGCAGGGAGGTGGATTGGAAATGGTGCAGTCGGAACTCGACCCAGCACCTGTGTGGAATGCCAGTGCTATAGGCTATGACTTAACCCTCTGCGCCACAGCGCTGGCCCCAGATGCTTCCTCTTTTTTTTTTTTTTTTTTTTTAAGATTTATTTATTCATTTGAAAGGCAGAGTTACAGAGAGAGAGGAGGAGAGAAAGAAAGAGAGAGAGAGAGATCTTCCATGTGCTGGTTCACTCCCCAAATAGGCTGCAATGGCCAGAGCTGGGCTGATCCAAAGCCAGCAGCCAGGAGCTTCTTTGGGGTCTCCCACGTTTGTACAGGAGCCCAAGGACTTGGCCATCTTCTACTGCTTTCCCAGGCCATAGCAGGGAGCTGGATTGGAAATGGAGCGGCCAGGACTCAAACCACTGTAGACCATGGCTTTAACCCATTGTGCCCATACATGATGCTGGTGCTGTCGATTGTAGCTTTAACCTGCACCACAGCATTGGCCCCTGAAACTTAATCTTTTAATGTTAGAAACAAAATTCTCTAAACTGGGCTTTGAATTCAAATGAAGCTCAGACAAGTTAGCACTTAGGGGGAAAAAAAACGTGATTTTTCATTTGTAGAATTACGAGCAGACTAACATCACAACTAGTTCATCTGTGTATTCATAGAAGATCAGGGTGAGGGGTCATAGGTGGATTAGCTCTACTGCACGCGAATTTGCCGAGGGTGTTCTCAGGAAGCTTCCTCTCCAGGAAGGTTTGCTGGGGACTAAAGGCAGAGCTGGTGCTTTGTGTGATGTGTGCTGCTGTTTTCTTCCTTTGATCATCCTGACTTTTCCCATCAGAACTGTTTCCCTACAAGCTGGGTTTTAATGGAAGAAAGTTGGGAATAAACTTTTGGATGCTAACCTTCTGTAATATTATTGAAAGTGGGATTAATGATGAGTGCAGAGATAAGATTATATAGGTATATTAAGTTCTGCTTTTCAACCCAAAATGTGTTTATACTGTGTCAACACGGTATCTTCCCTGGGCTTTATGCTTGTTTTTATTTTACAGGAGAGAGAAAACAGAGGCTATTTTAGTTCCCTAGTGCCCCGGAGACTCAACAGCACAAGTGACATTGAAGAAAAGGAGAACAGGTAACCTCAGTGCAGGCCGGAAGTGGTCCTCTTTTCCAGGCCTGGTGATCTGTGAATGTCCTCTGCATACTATGAGTTGTTGGTTGCTTCTGCTTACTTTGCTTCCCAATCCTTACTTCCTTGTTTCCCCTTCAAATTGTAACGTCAGCTTAGATGTTACTCTCTTTAGGAAGTCTCCCTTGACCCTGCTGAGTGTGGATTAGGTGTAGTTCACCAGCAGGCTCTGCAGAGGGTCTGTGTCTATCTAGTTTTTCAAAGGCCCCTAGTGCCTACCACATAATAAATACTATCATTGAATTCAGCCGCTCAACTTCTGATTTGTAAGTAGATAAAATTTAAAGTGTTTCTCATCAAATGGATAAGGAAGTTAAAGTGATAGTGTTTTTCTTTTAAAGATTTATTTGTTTATTTGAAAAGCAGAGTTACAGAGAGAGAGACAGAGAAAGACCTTCCCTCTGCTAGTTCACCCCTCAGATGGCCACAATGGCCAGGGCTAAGCCAGCTTGTAGCCAGCAGCCAGGAGCTTCATCTGGATCTGTCTTGCGGGTTGCAGGGCCCAAGCACTTGGGCCATCTTCTGCTACTTTTCCCAGGCCAGTAGCAGGGAGCTGGATCAGAAGTGGAATAGAAAGCAATTGAACTGGTGCCCATATGGGATACTGTACCACAGCACCAGCCCTAAATGATAGCTATTTTTTTTTTTTAAATATGATTTATTTAAGAAAAAGTTGAAATGAATTTAGGATTTTGAACTATTGCTGCAACTCAGGACAGAGCTTGGCCTAGAACCTGTCTTCACTAAATGGGGTTCTCCAGTCAGCAGTAGCAGCGTCTCTGGGGGGCAAGACAGAACACGGTGGGACTGCTGACCCTCAGGTTCCAGTCCAGAACTGGTGAATCAGAATCCATATCTTTATCAAATTCCCTCAAATTCCCTTCAGATACACATTGAAGTTGGAGAAGGACCGCTCTGGAGAACCTCACTTAGCGTGGGAACACACAGCTTTTTGCTGAGCCCTGCTGCGTCCCCTTCCTGGAGGCTTTCATTTAAGATGCTAAAGAGGATCTCAGCAAGTCCTTCCTTTCTCCTTCAGAAGAGCCTCTTTCCCTGGGGACAGGCTTCATCTTAGCCACCACCCACTTCCCCGCAGCCTCCTGCAGGGACTGCAAGGCTTAGGAGCATTTCACATGATGAGATTGGTACCTTTCAAAATTGGTTGACTTTGAAATTTATAAAAGAAAGCAGACAGTAATTCTGAACTCTCCCTCTGTACAGAAAACAGTCACGTAAAACAGACAATTATTTGAAGAATGTGTCTAGTTCTTTAGCCATATTAAGTGTACCTACCAGGCTCTTCCCTCCCTGTCTGCACTGTATCATGGACGGAAACTGCCTTCTCTTATGCCTCTGCAGAGAATCGGCCGTTAACCTAGTGCGGAGCGGCTCCTATACCCGGCAGCTGTGGAGGGAGGAGGCGAAGGGAAATGACACCCCACAGACAGCTGCCCCTTCCACCTATGTGTCACCCTACTTGAAAAGGTACCAGGCTCACGGGGTGGGCAATGGATTTCCTCCACTCTGGCCATGGGAATGGGGGTCATAACTGCATGCCTTTTTATATCCAATTAGCACCATAGCAATGAATCAAAAATGAATTACTTTATATTTCTTGGGATTAACATCTTGACTAACTTAAAATTAACTTATTTTCTTGATAACTGAATTAAAGTAAGCTAATTCCAAATTCTCACCACACACCTGACTTTTTATTCCATTCTCTCAGTCCTGTTAACATCGCCAATCAGAAGTGACTTCTCGTAATCTCTGGGCAAGACTGAATTTAACTCACCCTTGTCCAGTAGCTGTCTTTTCTTTTTCTAAAGCTAGAGCAGTTCTTATCTCGAGTTATATTTTTGGGGGGAAGAAGGAGGGACACTGTAGGGTGGTGAAGGGTGGGACATGGGGACAGTTTTCTGTTACGTTACAGAAGTTTCACTTAGGGACTTGAGTTGTTTTTTTTTTATGACTTTAATGGCCCTCAGATCCATCAAGATGTGAAACGCGCAAGTTTGGTGCAGAGAAGGTACATGGGTTTCCTTCCTCTCTTCTCGACTGTCTTCCCTTTTCTGCAGTTATTTTCTTTGCCACCTACTAGCCAGCATGCAAAGCACCTTTGCCAGAGCCATTAAGCAACAAGATATCCTTAGTTACTGTTTTAATTTGAACTTTGCTGCTGATGTGGAAGATTCTGTTTTTCACTGCTTATTTTGAATTTTTTTCTTCACTTCCACTTAACCGCTCCAACTGCCTCTTCACATCATAACCTTCATTGTTCAATTTTCTAGATGATTGGTTAGCTTAGAAACAGGCTTTGGCAATAGACTTTATGAGCAGGTTAGCTATTTGGGGTCAAAACTGATTTCTATTTGACAGGAAGATTCTTATTGACTAGTTAATATCGGAAGACGGGAAATAGTAAGCTATAAAACAAACAGCCACTGTTACCCTAAAGTTTTCTTCAGTTCTGTAGATACATTCTGTAAGAGAGGGCTTCATATTCAAGATATACAAGTTCCATGGTCTGTTATGTAAGCCAGCTGGTTTTGGCTTTATAAAGCAATTATCTGTTTGTCTTAAAAGCTGAGGTCATGGTCTACCGACAAAATAAATAATTAGTTTTTATAATATAATATTCTAGGTTTAAAAAACAGAGAAAACTGCCATTGAGTTTCCACACATGGAATTATTTTGTGGTGTTATTTTGTGGTGAGGTTGCTGATTTTCATTATCCAAATCATCAGCAAACAGGTGGAGTGGCATTGGTTTAATAGGTGTAGTTTGGCAAAGTTAGAATGAACAGAGGAGGGAAGGGCTGTCTGTGTTTAGAGTGGGGAGCATGCTTAATTATGTGAAAACTTTTGGAGAAACATTCTGCAACTTTGCTTCATACTCTGAGTTTCCAAAGCTCTTCTCCTCAAACTCTAAAGCATGTTTTGATTCTATTAAACTCCTGTCTTATGATCTTTTCAAGAGGAAAAAAATTATACCATTCCCGTTTTTAAAAGAAAGTGTGGGGAAAATATCTTTCCTAGCTATGCCAAACTTGGGTATACTTTGCATTTTCCAGTTCATCTCTTCTCTTTATGAGAGGCTGGAGTTCCTCTCGTGTGCCCCGGGAACACACCTCTTTTTCAAAAAAGGCATTGTTGTTTTTTTTTTTTTAGATCATCCCATCAAGTGTCTTATTACTATTATAATCAAGAGTATTTTAAAAAATTCTAACTCCAGATTTTTTTTTTGCTGCAATTGAGATATTTCTTACAAAGGAAAAATTGGCTTTTATCACCTATACAGTATTACTTTCTAGAGTTTGTGCTTTAAATCTTCCCAAAGATATATTTGCTTTAAGTTCAGTAACTAGTTCACAGAACTTCTTTACTCTTACTCTCTTTTTCATTTCAAATCTCTTCTTCCAAACCTGTTCAAATTCCCTGATCCTACTGTAGCTTTCGCAATGCTACTTCTGTATCAGGTAGATATTTGGGGTTGCATGATTTTTTTGCCTTGGGCTTGTTGGAAATTGTATTTTCTAATAAACTATTTCCTATTATTTCTCTTTCTTAGCTTCTACTCTTGCCTCATATATTCTTCTTTTCTGCTTTCCTCTGTTAAATATCACCTCTCCTCCTTCACGTCCCTTCATTCTTTTGGATGATTGACCAAAAGATCATCCTTCAAAGAGTGACGGTTCCTTCACTCTTGGATGATTGCCTGCTTACTGCCAGTGACCAGCTCTGGCTGGGGTTGATCACTCTGCTTCCCAGTTATAATACCCTCTCCTTGGTCCACATTCATTTTGAAAGTGCACAGTCTGGGTGGGAAGGTGGTGTGGGAAATGGTGGGCAGACAGCATGTCCTGAAGAAAGTGACTGTGTGCTGTTTTGCAGTGCTTCATTTGGTAGAAGTAGTGACCCCACAAGTCCCTACATTTCAGCCAGTCGCAATTCATCTCCTGCTACCTCACCCATTACCATTGGTTCATCTACCTCTCTGGGCAGCCAGTGGCAACCTGCCTCTTCTTGCTCTGCACCAGTCAGTGCAAACACTACTGCATCTGTCCACCACGGCAGGTAAGGCTTCCCAGAGCCATTTGAGTTAACATTCGTCAGAGTTATGCCTCTGGAAACACGTGAGATTCTGTCACTGTAGAAGCAAGCTTGAATTCCTGTAAAAACGTGAGGATGCTTTTGCTTTGACTTTTATTGGCCATTCAACAGTTGCTGATTGAATAATCAAAGGGAAGGAGTCGTTGCACTTGATATTTAAGCATGACCTTATTATGATTACTTTCATCTAGCAATCACCTTACCAGTTATGATTACAATTTTTTTTTTTTTTGAAGATTTATTTACTTATTTGAAAGGCAGAGTTACAGAGAGGCAGAGAGAGGGATCTTCCATCAGCTGGTTCATTCCCCATATGGCTGCAATGGCCAGAGCTGGGCTGATCCGAAACCAGGAGCCAGGAGTTGCTTCCAGGCTCCCAGGCAGGTGCAGAGGCCCAAGGACTTGGGCCATCTTCTGCTGCTTTCCCAGGCCATAGCAGAGAGCTGGATTGGAAGTGGAGCAGCTGGGACTCGAACCGACGCCCATCTGGGAATGCCATCAAAGCAGGTGGCGGCTTTACCCACTATGCCACAGCACTGGCCCCAGATTACAATTTTTTTTTTTTTTTAAGATTTCTTTTATTTATTTGTAAGGCAGAATTACAGAGAGAGAAAGGGAGATACAGAGAGAGGTCTTCCATCCACTAGGCCAGGCTAAAGCCAGGACTCAGGAGCTTCATCTGGGTCTCCAATGTGGGTGCAGGGGCCCAAGCACTTGGGCCATCTTCTTCTGCTTTCCCAGGTGCATTAGAGGAGAGCTGGATCAGAAGTAGAGCAGCCAGGACTCAAACCAGTGCCCCTATGAGATGCTGGCACTGCACAGTGGCACAGTGCCAGCCCCTATGATTACAATTTATTGACCACACTAAATATTAAATATATAAAATATTAAATTATTTCATATTAGAATATTCTCATACTTATATAATTTCCCAGTAATTCTGACTAAGAATCACTTCATTTAGTCTTTTTGGAAGATGACATACAAACCCAAATCAGGAGAAAAGCTAACACACTTTACCAAAGGCGCCTATAGCCTTATGAAAACTTCCCACCAAATAGAATGTTTTGCTGGAAACATTGTGTGGAGGGAGTCATTTGTGTTTGTCTAACTGTGTTCTGAGAGTACTCTCTCTTTGGTTTCCAATTAATCTAAGGGGTGGCATAGACTCAGTGGCATTGTAAATGTGCAGCACAACGTTAGCTCCAGTTTTTAATCCTTTAGGTGTGGTCAGTGACCTTTTGCCTTTGGATATGGCAAAGGGTTCCCCTTTTTGGTCTGGTTTCTACAGTTGACATAATGAAAATAAAAAATGATTATAACTATAGTACTACTGTGAAAATGTCAACAACGATGGTGTTTGATTGGTATTTTTTAGTTTACTTGATGTTGTTCCCTAAAATAATTGTGACCATTAATTTGGCAAGGAATAACAGGTTTATGATGGGTTATTGATAATTATATTAATAAGTATAATTATGTAGAAATTTGCTAGGTCCTCATACAATCCAGTTGCATGGCCATGGTAAGTATTATCACCATAGACAACAGAAGGGTTACTTAATTAACCATTACGATCTGAAACTGGGAGAAATAATTACACCTACCATGTATTGAACCATATTATGTGGCAGGCATTAGGTTAGGCACTGTACAAAAATTATATTGGGATTTGGTTTACTCACACATAACCAAAAAATTCAAATAATGGTGGCTTAAAAAATAAAAGTTTAATTTTCTTCCCTTGCTGTTAAGAAAGCCTGGAAATGGGCTGGCACAGGAGCTCCACAGTCATGAAAAGATCCCAGTCCTACGTCATGGCTCGTTTCCATGGATTACCTCTTGGTCTGAAGTAACTGCTGGAGCTCTAACCATCCTTTGCATTCTAGGCAAGAAGAAGGAGAAAAGGGGGAAGCAGGCAAAGAAGGTTTGCCACTGATTTGAGAATTTTCCCAGAAGTAGTAATTTTCTGCTTCATGTACTGTTGGATCCCAGTAATGGCTGGGAAGCCTTTGGGAAATGTGGATTTTTTTTTTTTTTTTTTTTTTGACAGGCAGAGTTAGACAGTGAGAGAGAGAGAGACAGAGACAGAGAGAAAGGTCTTCCTTCCCTTGGTTCACCTCTCAAATGGCCACTAAGGGTGGCGCGCTGCTCCGATCCGAAGCCAGGAGCCAGGTGCTTCTCCTGGTCTCCCATACGGGTGCAGGGCCCAAGGACCTGCGCCATCCTCCACTGCACTCCCGGGCCACAGCAGAGCCCTGGACTGGAAGAGGAGCAACCGGGACAGAATCCGGTGCCCCAACCGGGACTAGAACCCAGGGTGCTGGTGCCGCAGGCAGAGGATTAGCCTCGTGAGCCGCAGAGCCGGCCGAAATGTGGATTTTTAACCTGATACATCGCAGCCTTCAGTAATCCAGAGGCTGGCACTGTTAGTGAAGGAGGAAGAGACGGTGATATGGAGAGATAACCAGCTACCTCAGGCACATCTATGTTGTTGATAGTCTCCTAAACAACACTTTAGTACATAAAGTATTATTCTTTTCTTATAAATGAGGAAATTGAGACCAAAAGCTTAGTTATCTGCCCAGGGTCACACAGCTAGTAAGGAACTGAGCCAGGATTTGAGCCCAGGTTTGTACATTTCAAAGTTCTTGTCTGTTTTATCACAATTTTTTTTCCACAAAGTTTGTTTTATTCTGGGCACTATTTCAGGTGTTCCTTAAATATTATTTTACTTAATTACTGCAAGAACCATACATTTTAAGGTATCATTCCTATATTGTAGAGGAGGAGAGATAGAGAAATTAAATGAGTTTCAGCTCATCTCCAGGTGGTCCAGAAGCCCAGGTTGATTCTCCTCCATTGTGCAGCTTCTGATTCCACTGTAGAGCCCTTTCATTCTGCTCCTGACAGTCTGTAAAATTATAGCACATTTCAAAATGATAAAGTCCCGTTATATAACTTAATAAAAAAATTAGATCCCTGACATTTCTACAGCATAAGAAGTTGCAGACACCAAAATGTGTTATTATCCTGTGTAAAATTTCAGGTAAGGTTTTGATAAATATAATTTTTTATAGCTGTGTTTCTAATTTTTTCTTAAGATTTATTTATTTACTTGAAAGTCAGAATTACACAGAGAGAGGAGAGGCAGAGAGGTCTTCCATCCGCTGGTTCATTTCCCCTATGGCCACAATGGCCGGAGCTGCGCCAATCCAAAGCCAGGAGCTAGGAGCTGCTTCCAGGTTTCCCACGTGGGTGCAGGGGCCCAAGCATTTGGGCCATCTTCTACTGCTTTCCCAGACCATTAACGGAGAGCTGGACAGCAAGTGGAGCAGCCGAGACTCGAACTAATGCCCATATGGGATGCCGGCACTGCAGGCGGTGGCTTTACCCGCTGTGCCACAGCGCCAGCCCCTGTGTTTATAATTTTACTAGTACTTCCTATAGGCTCATATGTCTTGTAAGTCTGAGGAATTGTTTCTCTTCAAACTTTTTAAAATTAAACAAATGAATACAGAATCTCACATTTATGTGCCAATTGCTTCTGAGGAAACAGCTTGTATTTTTAGATACCACCACCATCTTCAAAAGTACCCTATGTTTATATTTGTATCTAGATATTACTTTGAGATTTTTATTATCTGATTATTTCTTCCAAGCTTATTCTAATAATGTGCTTATTTGGAGGTAAGTAGATAGCTACTTGTGACATTTCTGGTAATAATTGTGAGTAGGTGAAAAAGCAGATTTAAAAGATTCATGCTTTTTGCTTTTTCTCATCTCTGTATCAGTTTTGGATCTGTTACCCCAGCAACAAGCTGTGACATCACAAATGATAGCTTTTGGGGTGGAGAGCCATTGGTTGCTCCCAAGTCTTTGTTAAGAAACAAAGATCTTGTTTTCATGTAAATGAATTTAATTATACAGCTTGCTGTTGAAACGTCTGTAGTTAAGGCTACACATAAAATCCTATGCAGTTTTTGTTTCAGTTTTTCCTTTAGGCAGTTATAAATATAGATAATTAGGCATTTGTTTTGGTCATATGGAGAGAGAGAGCAGTTGCTGCACCAGGTGATCCAGGACCAAACATACTGAGGGTGTAGGGTGCTGATCAGATGTCTGGATAATCCAAGAAGATGGTCATCAAGTGTACATTGAAGATTACAATCAAGATGCACATTGTCAAGAAATAAGGGACAGGTGAATACTAATATTGTAAGTGAACTTGGTGTCTTTTTCATGTGGAGAGAAGCCCTGTCTGTGTGCATGTGTGGAGACCAGATGGTAGTGAAGTCACTGAAGGTATTCTTGCATATGTCACTCTCTTGTCTTGTAGCTTAGCTAATGTCGTTTGTCTTTTAAAACAAACAAACCCATAAGATAGAACTCCTTGGGAAGAGAATGTGAGACTAAATGTGTAATCACAGTGTTTAAAAATTTAAGAGCTTGGAATGGATAAATAAACACAATCTAAGCAAGAGGATTCTCTAGATAAGCCTATCTCACTCTTGCACCTCTGTCCCAGTGCTTTGTTGTGGAGGATCCCTGAGCATCCTCTTTCTGCTTGTGTCTGTCTGTTTCAGGACTCCTTACAGATCCCAGACTGACTCGACAGCAGAGAGTGTTTCTCCCAGCACCCCGCTGTGTGTGATCACCAATCGCCCTCTACCTAGCACTGCCAATGGGGTGACAGCTGCCACCGTGCTCTCCTCCACTGGAACGGACTCCTCTGTGGAAGCCAGGGAGAAGAGGAGGTACGTTAGGCTACTGATTTCACTCGTGGGGCTCTGTTTTCAGGTAGGAGAGGAAGGACTGCGTGGAGTCTTCCCCAGTCTCAGATAAATCTGTGAAAAGAGATCTTTGATACTGCATGGGTTCAGTCTTTTGCCTTTGGAAGACTTTTAACAGATCTTAATTATTATTTAATATAAACACTTATTCTATTACAGGTATACTCATACCTTTTTTTTCTCCCCCGTGTGTCTTGTGAGAGAGACAGTAGTCAGGTATTCTGTGTGCATTTTGTGATCCTTTGTTTTGTTCTCTGTAGTCCATGATGACTTCTTTTGCAGCAAAATAGTAATATGTAGTAGTATGACAAAAGGCTCAAAGAGAGCTAGGATTATAAAGTTGTGATTGCTTGAGAATTCTGAACAGCAGAAAAGGAAATGGATAGAATGTGAGAATATGGTAAAAAGATAGTGACTGGCTATTCTGTAATTTCTTTAGAAAGAAATTGTGAACGACATAGTAGAAATTAAAGGAAGAAACCAAGGACAACTCTGTTAGAATTAAGAGACCTTAGAGGAGGGAGGTGCCTTTCTCTGAAGGGAGGAAGGAACCTCTACTGTGATATGGCCTTGACTAAACAAGTTCAGAGTTGGTGAACTCAAGGGGCTTCCGTAGCCTAGACAGCTCATAGCAAGAGTCTCGGGTGATTGCTGACGTCATAAATAAGAGTGCCAATTGTTAAATCAACAACGGGAGTCACTGGGTACATGCTCCCCACGTAGGATCTCTGTCCTTAATGTGTTTTACTATGAAACTTAATGACAACATTACTAGTTGAACAATACCCTGTGCCTTGTGTGGTTGTGTGTGTGCAGCCTGTTGAAATCCTTGCTTAGTGTAGACTAAGTTGATCTTCTGTATATGAAGGTAGTTGAAAATGAAACTCGATGAAGGGTGGGATGGGAGAGGGAGTGGGAGAGGGGAGGGCCGTGGGAGGGAGGGAGGTGGGGAGGAAGCCACAACAATACAAAAGCTGCACTTTGTAAATTCACATTTATTAAATAAAAAAAATTTTTAAAAAGAGACTTTGGAGATATGACCAATGGAGAATTGGTCATTTTCTCTCACTGGAAGGAGTATAAAAAATAGAATGCACTCCATTCAAGTGTCTCAGATCTACTTAAAGACTAAGGCTATCATTATCCCTTTTTAAGACTTAAACAGGTGAAACCTTACAGAAATTTATTTGACTTAATGTTATTTCACATACCCAAAGGAAGGAGATTTCATATTTGTGAGTATGTCTGTATGGATGTGTAGTAAGTCAAGAAATCTTACCATCTGTAAGATGCAATAGGAGTTCCATCCTATAGGTATTTATTTATTATAAAGACACCTCTAAAAGACACATTTTGAGAAGGGAGGGAAGGGAAAGGATGTTAAGTGAATCCGAAAATAATGTTTTTCTTCCTTTCTTTTCCTTCCTCCCTTCTTTCCTTCCTTTCTTTTTTAAAATGTCTTTATATGAAAACTGAAGAAAATCAATTTTCTGGGCAAAGAGTTCTAGAACTAACAGCTGTCCTCTTTTAATTGGCATCCAACCAAGGAAATATTAATTAACCTTGAATAGTTAATACTTGTGTATTTACTAGCTTATATATAATGAAGATACTATTAGTTTCACCTAGAAAGCAAATGCAAAGGTCACCTCTTCACTAGCTGAAGAAAAGTCTCCGAGCTGAAGAAAGTAAAATGAGTTCAAGTCATTATAAAGATCATTGTCTCCAAAAGGGTGGGGAAACTGGGTTATTTACAGACTGCATTATTAAATAATTACATGAACTGTTAATTTAGAGAAACCTAGAGGGATAGTTACTCTCTTCTGGGAATTTTAACCTATGATCAATAAGGTAGCACCTACTACAGCTTTTATTTCTACTTTGTAAGATGTATTCATCCTGTAAATATTCATTGAGTGCTTGCTGTGTACCACACAGGATACCTATGACATATTTCCTATAGGAACAGCAGATATAAGAATAAAAGAATAAATCAAGATGTAAGTGAATTTTAAGGTGAATGTGGTATGTCAAGTACAGATCAAGATGTCTGCATTTTAGGGAAGGCACAAGGTGAATAGGGAGGTGTTAGATAAGGAACTGCTGGATTAAGTCACTCAATATGTACTAGCATCCATTCTTTCAGAATACTTATTGAGCACCTGCTGTTACTAGATTCTGTGATAAACCCAAGTGATATATTGGTAGATCAAATATGCTGAGCCCTTGGGAAACATATGCTGGTGACAAAAACAAGTGTTTATTAATAATTGTACTTTCTTGTTTTGTTTTTAAGATTTAGTTATGGGGCAGGCGCTGTGGCACAGCAGATTAAGTGGACATCTGCAGTGCCAGCATCCTGAATGGGCTCCAGTTCAACTCCCAGCTGCCCTACTTCTGATCCAGTTCCCTGCTGATGTGCCTGGGAAAGCAGTGGAGGATGGCTCAAGTCCTTGGGACCCTGCATCCACATAGGAGACCCAGAAGAAGTTCCTGGCTTCTGGCTTTGGCCTGGCTCAACCCCAGCCATTGTGGCCATTTGGGGAATGAACCAGTGGATAGAAAATCTCTCTGTCTCTCCTCTCTCTGTCACTCTAACTTTCAAATAAATAAAAATATTTACTTATTTATTTGAAAGGCAGAGTGACAGGAAGATGGAAAGGGGGGGGAGAGAGAGAGAGAGATTAATCAATTGATCGATTAATTTTCCATTTGCTGGTTCACTCCCCAAATGGCCACAACAGCTAGATCTGGGCCTGCCTGAAGCTACTAGCAAAGAACTCCATCCAGGTGTCCCATGTGGGTGGCAGGAACTCAAGTACTTAGGCCATCTTCTGCTGCCTTCCCAGGCACATTATCAGGGAGCTGGATCACAAGTGGAGTAGCCAGGCCCAAACCAGTATTCTGTTTGGGACACTGGCATTGCAAGCAGTGGTTTAACCCACTGTACCACAACACTGACCCCAATAATTATACTTGTGAAATATACCTTAAAAAGGCCATATGAGTTGTTGTGACAGTGTGGTGCAGAAGATCTGTCTACAGAAGACTTCCCTCTCCCAAGGGATCTAGTAAGTCTCATACGGATGTGATGCTCAAACCAAGATCTGCAGCATAAATAACACCTCGGTGAAAAGAAGGGAATGATCATTCCAAGTGGAACGTAAACCAATTGAAAAGACACTGGTGTGGGAAGGTGCTTGGTTCTTTGGAGAAACTGAAAGAAGGCACTGTAAAATCTAAGTGCTGAGAATTAGGAAGAGTGGTTTAAGATGAAGCTTAAGTAGCCTGTAGGCGCTATTTAATGCAAAGTTGTACAGCTGATGATAAAGACTGAATTTCAATGCTAAGACCCGCAGTGAGCCATAGGAAGAACTTTTTAACAGCTTTAAAGGTGTAATTCTTAAACTATACAGTTCACCTATTTAAAGTGTACGATTCAGTGGTTTGCAGTATATTCACAGTTGGTGCAACTGTCTGCACCTTCAATCTTAGGACCTTTTTGTCATGTCAAAGGGAAATCCTGTACCTTTTAACCATTGCCCCCTCCTCCTGTTCTCCCTAGACCTAAGCAACTACTGATCTACTTTCTGTCTTTAGACATTTGCCTATTTTTTTTGCTTTGTTTTTTGCACATAGATTTTTAATCATCTATTATGCTTGTACATACATTTTTAAAAAAAGAAGAAGCAGAATAGACTGGTAACAGTAGTCTTAAAAGCATTTTTTATGTGGATTCCACATCCCCCACGTCACTTCCAGCTCAGGTTGTCCACGCCTGTTTTCCCACGCTGCATCAGCCTCTCAACAGAAAGAGGCTGGAAGGCAGGACCTTCTTGTGGGAGGGCTCCCCCAGGCATTCCAGGCTTTCATGCAAACCACTGGCACTGCTTCAGCAAGCTTGGCGACATCCACTGCATCGTAACACCATTCACAGTATCTTTTTTCCCCAAGAAACCTTTTATTTAAGGAATATAAACTTCATGCATTTTGTAAGTAAAACTTTAGGAATATAGTGATTCTTCCCACCATATCCACCCTCTCATCCGCATTCCCACCCCCGCTTCCTCCTCCCTCTCCCATTCCCACTCCTATTCTCTACTAAGATCTATTTTCAATTAATTTTATACATAGAAGACCAACTCTATACTAAGTAAAGAGTTCAACATTTCCTCGGAAAAAAAAAAAAAAAAAAAAAAAAAAACCTGTTCTTCAACAGTCAAGACAAGGGCTGTTCAGTCATTGCATCTCAAAGTTAATTTTACTTCTTTTTTTTTATAAACTTAACTAACTTTAAAGAAGCACCCAAGAATGATACATCTTTTGTGAGCATTTAGACATAACTATAACTTATGAGACATAAAAATATCCTCCACTTAATACATTAAAAGAAAGTAAGTCTTTGAGAACAAGTTTTTTATCATTAATTTAGAAGCACCCAAGAAAGCAAGCAATGGAGTTGGGCACTTAGACATAACTAAAACTTACAAGGCATAAGAATAGCCTCCATTTAATACACTAAAATAAAATAAATCTTTTTTTTTTTTTTTTGAATGAAAAAATTTTTTTTTTTTTTTGACAGGCAGAGTGGACAATGAGAGAGAGAGACAGAGAGAAAGGTCTTCCTTTTGCCGTTGGTTCACCCTCCAATGGCCGCCACGGCTGGCGCCATGCAGCCGGCGCACCGCGCTGATCCGATGGCAGGAGCCAGAAGCCAGGTGCTTTTCCTGGTCTCCCATGGGGTGCAGGGCCCAAGTACCTGGGCCATCCTCCACTGCACTCCCTGGCCACAGCAGAGAGCTGGCCTGGAAGAGGGGCAACCGGGACAGAATCCGGCGCCCTGACCGGGACTAGAACCCGGTGTGCTGGCGCCGCTAGGCGGAGGATTAGCCTAGTGAGCCGCAGCGCCGGCTAAAATAAATCTTGAGAACAAGTTTTACCATTACCTCTCTGAGGTAATACAA